CAGCACTGAGGTAAATGAAAATGATGACAATATTGCTAAGCACTTCTTTGATCTATTAAATGTGCTACTATACTATGTAGGTGAAAACAAGTGTCTCAAAATCGACTATAGGCTATAGCTCATCAACTTTTTCCCTTGGACTCAACTCTCAAACAAGTCCAACTTAACTATAGCACCTAATAAAAATAATGAAAATTATATACATAACGTGAAGTTTACATAAAAAGATCATTTCACGCACAAAATGTGTATGGATGCGCTTTTACTCATTCATAATACACCTTCACGTACATTTGAAGTAATGTTTTGGATGATGTAAACGCACATGTGCACTTTTTTACCATCCATAATACAACTTCACTGGTAAAGTAACACATTTTGAGGTGGCGGAAAATTTTAGCCTATTGACCTATTCACCCAAATGTCATCATGTTTTTTCGCTTAGACAATAAATCCAAGGCAGAAGTGGTGTGAGAATGGTGGGAGAAGAGTTTCGGGGGATGTGCGCATATCACTAATGCACCTATGGTTTTATGAAACAAAAGACCCGCAAACAAAAAAATTAGAGTTTTTTGGTCACATATATACATGTACACGTATTTATAGTATAAAAATATATGTTCAAATACGAATCTTTGACCCCACACTCCGACCTCACTAATCTGACATTTCTAGCTTTACCATTGTTCGAAAGCACAACAATAATCTCAAACTTCAATCCCATAACATAGAGTTCCTCCCAGGGCTTGTAAGGACCGTTTCCGTCTCCGGCTCAGGTCTCCAACCTTCTAAACTAAACTCACACACACCACTCTAGGGCTAGGCCACAACATCTCCCATGTTTACTCACTCTTCTTCACTCCACAAAGGAACTCTCACACAAAGAAAGGAAGAAGGAAGACTCTGCTGATATCTTGCAGGCTTATCTCACAAAGAAGGAAAGGAGCAGACTTTATACTAGGCAGGCAGCCAATTTGAGAAGTCACGGGTAAACAGCAGGACACTCACGGGTGTGGCCAAGACAACAAAGGCTCACGGGTATAAGCAAGGCAGCAGCGGACAAAAACAATGGGGCATACTCCAGATAAGTCAAACAGGCCATAATAAGTGATTTCAACTCTGGGAATCAAAGTGGGAGTAAACATGGGGTGCAAGCCTAAATAATAAAGTGGAAGGGAGGCCTTGGTAGGACCAATACCTCCAACATTCTCCACCTTATTGGTCCTAAGTGGTGTAGAGTAGCAAAACAGGTTGTGAGGAGACTCATCATCACCGGGTCACCCGGAATATCAAAAGACACAACGGGCAAACACTTTATTAGGCAACCCACAGTTATCCACAGTCAAAATTTAACACGCGTTTACAGGACAAGTGCTTCTCAGCAGAAAGACACTTGGTACCCATATCCGCAGGGTTAAACTCCGACGGGATCTTGCACAGCTTGACTCCACCTGCATCAACAATGTCACGTATGAAATGGAACCTAACATCAATATGCTTAGTTCTATCATGAAATACAGGATTTTTGCAAAGTTGGATAGCCGATTGGCTATCCGAGAAAATGGTAACTCCCTTTTTGAGAAACCCAATTTCGGAGACAAGGCGCTTGAGCCAGATGGCTTCCTTAAACGCTTCTGTGGCTGCAACGTACTCGGACTCAGTGGTAGAAAGGGCCACAATAGGCTGTAGTTGAGACTTCCAACTAATGCAAGAGCCACACAAAGTAAAAACATAAGAAGTGGTCGACTTCCTGTTATCTCTATCATTTGCATAGTTAGAATCAACATAACCAATCAATTCAATACCACTAGCACATTTAGAGAAAATTAATCCATGCTTCACAGTAGAAATCAGATATCTAAGCAACCACTTAAGAGCATTCCAATGGGGCAAACCAGGGTTGGACATATATCTACTCAAGCAACTAACCGCATATGCAATATCAGGTCTAGTGCTAACCATAAGATACATCACCGACCCTATTGCACTGGAATAAGGCACAGATTTCATTTTCTCAATTTCAGGAGCAGTCTTGGGAGACTGGTCCTTACTTAACACAAAGTGAGATGCCATAGGGACATTAACAGGAGAAGCAGATAACATATTAAATTTACTCAAAACTTTTTCTATGTAAGAAATCTGATTCAAAGTAAGAGTACGCTTACTCCTATCCCTAACAATGTTTATGCCTAGGATCCTCTTGGCATCACCTAGGTCTTTCATGGCAAAATTCGCACAAAGACATTTTTGCACATCTTTAATAGCATTCAGAGAAGGACTAATTATCAGCATGTCATCCACATAGAGTAACAAAAATACAGGCACAGAAGAGGTATTTTTGAAATACAGGCAATGATCACAAACAGATTTTTGGAACTTCAAAGATATCATGCATTTATCAAATTTGATGTTCCACTGCCTAGGGGATTGCTTCAGGCCATACAATGCCTTCCTAAGCAAACAGACATGCTCACTTCTCTTGGGATCCACAAAGCCCTCAGGCTGGGTCATATAAATTGTTTTGTCCAATTCACCATGCAAAAATGCAGTAGTTACATCCATTTGTTTCATTTCCCAGTCATGGTGAGCAACTAAAGCAAGCATCATACGAATAGTGGTGAATTTAACAACAGGAGCAAAGATTTCTGCATAATCTACCCCCTCTTTTTGAGTAAACCCCTTCGCAACCAACCTAGCCTTAAACCTAACATCACTAGGTTCTTCCTTAACCTTAAACAACCACTTACACTCAACTACCGAACAGTTGGGGGGTCTAGGTACAAGGGTCCAAGTCTGGTTCACTCTCAAAGAGTCCATCTCACTTTTCATGGCACTAATCCATTTCTGAGACTCTTTGGAACCTAAGGCTTCACGGTAGGTCTTGGGTTCATTCAGCTCTAGGGATTCAAACACAGAAAATGCAAACATAGAAGTATCATGCACACTGAAAGCATAATCAGGCATACTATCAGCAGTTCTCCTAATAGCCCTTCTACTCCTATCTCTAGCAAGTTGATAATCATGCAAATTATCACTACTAGGCTCCACATGCAACTCATGCAAGTTATTGTTATCATGAAAATCAGATTCAGCACCCATATCATGCAAATCATGCTCAGTATCATGCAAATGCTCCACCTCACTCGAGGTGGTGGGACTATCATGCTCAGAGGAATCAGAATCATGCATAACAATATCATCAGTAATAACAGGATCAACAGACAAAGGACTAGCAGCAACAGGGACAGACTCCACCTCACTAGGAGTACTATCAGACCTAGACTCAGGATTAGAAACAGACTCGGTCAAGCAAGGAAAATCAGTTTCATTAAACACCACATTTCTGCTAAGGACCACTTTAAAGCCTACCTGGTTCCTATCCCATAACCTGTAACCCTTTACCCCCTCTGGATAACCTAGGAAGACACATTTCTTAGACCTAGGATCCAACTTGTCACCTTGTTGATGTGCATACGCTGCACAACCAAACACCCGAAGGTTAGACAGATCAAGAGGCTTTCCGGTAAAGACGGTTTCAGGACACTTACCACCAAGAGGGACAGACGGGGACCTATTAACCAAATAGGCAGCAGTAGTGACTGCTTCACCCCAGAATTTCTTAGACAAACCAGAGGTAGCTAACATGCTTCTAACCTTATCTAACAGAGACCTATTCATTCTCTCTGCTATCCCATTCTGTTGGGGAGTATAAGGCACAGTTTTGTGCCTTTTAATCCCACAATCCACACACAACTTATCCATCTCCTTATTACAGAACTCTAACCCATTGTCGGTCCTAAGGGTCTTAACCTTCCTGCCAGTTTGGTTTTCAACTAGGGTTTTCCACTCCCTAAACCTCACAAACACATCAGACTTGTGTTCTAAAAGGCAAACCCACACCTTCCTAGAGAAATCATCAATGATAGAAAGGAAATATTTCCTACCCCCGTGGGTAGGAACACTGGCAGGACCCCAAACATCGGCATGAACATATTCAAGCACAGACGAACACTTAGACAGATTAGGGTAAGAGGAAGGAGGGAAGCTGACTCTATGCTGCTTGCCTAACACACATGATTCACAGAAAGGCACAGAAGTCACAGAGTCCTTACCAAAATAACCAGCCCTACGCATGACATCTAAACCCTTATTGCTCATATGTCCTAGCCTATTATGCCACAAAGAGGTCTTATCAGAACATACAACATTCACAGATTCAGCAAAAGGTTTAGCATGACACACATAAAGGTTATTCACCTTCTCAGCTTTAAACAAAACAAGCGAGTTTTTCAGGATTTTCATACAACCATTTCCCCATTTTCCCTGTAACCCACTACTCTCCAAAGCAGCAACAGATAACAAGTTATGACACAAATCAGGGACATGCCTCACATTCTTAATGGTAAACACAGAGCCACAAGAAAACTTCAGACATATATCACCAACACCAAGCACATTGCATCTCTTATTATCAGCTAAGGAAACGTAGCCACTATCACATAATTCATAAGTAGAAAACAAATCTCTAAAGGGGGACATGTGATAGGTACAACCAGAGTCAATCAACCATTCATGCTCAGACAGGGAATTTCTCACAGAATTAACATGGTCACAAACCATCAAAATATCACCAAGGTCACATTTATCAACAGCTACACTAGCATGCTCGGTCTTCTTAGGGTGGGGGCAATCCTTAATGAAATGGCCAGCGTTACCACAATTGTAACACACTCTCTTCCTAGATTTACTCCTCTTCCTCCCAGGCTGACTAGTGTTCTTACCCTGACTATTTTGCTTAGAGTTCTTAGACCTACCCTTAGATCTACCCCTAACAAACATAGCCTCACCGGAGTCCCTGGACTGACTAGCACTACCCCTAGCATGCTTCAGGTCTAATTCCTTACTCCTTAACCCATTCACAACAATGTCTAACGAAATCTCATCCCTACCGTACTTAATAGCGGACTTAACATCATTATAAGAGTCGGGAATGGCATTAAGTAATACTATGGGAGTGTAATCATCTATGTGTTTATCACCTGCCTGTTTGATATTCTGTATCAGTTTATTAAACACATCCAGGTTCTCATCTATATCCTTAGTCAGGTCAAGCCTAAACCTAAAGAATTTTTCTAGTAAGAACAACTTCCCGGGCAAAGAGGTATCAGTATAGAGACTATCCAATTTCTCCCACAACTCCTTAGCAGACTCAAGAATACCCACTTTCCTAAGCACAGAATCAGACAGATTCAAGTAAATAGTAGAACAAGCAGTTTCGTTCATTTCAGTTTGCTTAGTCTTATCTTCTGATTCAAGGAAAATACCAGTGACAGCTCTGAAAACTTTTTGCTGTATTAAAACACACTTTATTTTCTGTTTCCAAATATCAAAATCTGTTTTTCCATTAAATGGAAGCATACCATACTGATTCGCAGCCATGGTATCAACCACAAAGGAACACAAAGCTAAACAGACAGAATTGACAGAAAATAATCCAACCCGGGCTATAAAGTATTCACTTTAATAACCCCGGGCAGCATGCAACACATAGCAAAAAATGGACATAATGGCAATTAAACAATTCCGGACAAAAAAATTAAATTAATTAATTCTACCCCTACCACCCAATAAACCACCCCTACGCATAACAATTAAATTAAATAACACTTAGTAATTTAATTAATCAACTAAAACAATCAACCACAAAGGAGAGGGTTTAGTACGTACCTGGGGGGGTTGGCGGCCGGGATTAAATCAACCGGCGGCCCGCGGGGAGGGGGAATAAATTAAATTAAATTAAAACCGGAATATAACAAATGGGAAGTTTAAAGAAAACTTACCTTCGCGAAACCCTAGGAGAGCGTTTCGACCTTACCTACCCATTTTTTTTTTAAAATTTGGGATTTTTCTGAGAAGTTGACTGACTGTTGACCGGCGTTGACTGGCGTTGACCGATGGTTGACCGGCGTTGACTGGTGGTTGGCTGGTTCCAGCTCCAGGTCTAGCAGCCCAGCAACAGATCCAGCCCAACAGTCCAAGTCCAAGTCCAGCAGCTTTCCAGCAGCTCCAACAGTCAAATGGACTGACCCAATTGTCCACTAGCCCGATTCCAGCTCAGAAGCAGCAACTCATCTTCTAGCAGCCAGCAGCTCCAGTCCAGAGGCCCAAAAGAAAACCGGCCCAAAATTTGCCTAAGCTCCAACTTGACCAGCGGCCCTGTCTACTTCAGCAAATTCAGCGGACCGAAGAAGTCTTCTTCGTCCTTTGCCGGCTCCTGGGTTTCTGCGAACAACAACGAGGCTCACACCAACGAGTAGCGACCTCGATGGCGGAGAGCGACGGTGGCGAAACTTCCAGCGACGGTGGCGGGGCGGCTGATTCCGACGGTGGCGAAACTTCCAGCGACGAGCGAAGCTTTCAGGCGACGGTGGCGGGGCGGCAGTGGCTCTGGCGGAGGTTCCACTTCCGGTGAGCTATGTTTCAAGCTTCGGTCAGAGGAAGTCTATTTCAACCTCCGGGCAGCGAACGGCGAAGAACCAGGCCTTAGGGAATTCCAGCAAGCTCCAATCGATGGCGGCGGCGGACGGCGGCGGCGGACGGCGGCGGACGGCGAACCAGGCTCTGATACCACTGTAAGGACCGTTTCCGTCTCCGGCTCAGGTCTCCAACCTTCTAAACTAAACTCACACACACCACTCTAGGGCTAGGCCACAACATCTCCCATGTTTACTCACTCTTCTTCACTCCACAAAGGAACTCTCACACAAAGAAAGGAAGAAGGAAGACTCTGCTGATATCTTGCAGGCTTATCTCACAAAGAAGGAAAGGAGCAGACTTTATACTAGGCAGGCAGCCAATTTGAGAAGTCACGGGTAAACAACAGGACACTCACGGGTGTGGCCAAGACAACAAAGGCTCACGGGTATAAGCAAGGCAGCAGCGGACAAAAACAATGGGGCATACTCCAGATAAGTCAAACAGGCCATAATAAGTGATTTCAACTCTGGGAATCAAAGTGGGAGTAAACATGGGGTGCAAGCCTAAATAATAAAGTGGAAGGGAGGCCTTGGTAGGACCAATACCTCCAACAGGGCTTATCACTCCCATTGTTCATAAATCATAACACACCTAGCCACAACGCTCTCCTTCGTAACAAAGAGTGAAAAGATTCTGAAGAAAGCATACTCAGGAGCATCGCCAATAAGATGAAAGTGAAAGAATATATATGCTCTGGGGAGAATATTTTATTGTAATTTTTATTGGAAATTAAACCATACAGAAATGAAAAATACATTATGCAACGCTTTAAAGTTTAATAATGTGTTTTGCCCAGTATATAGTGGGTGCACACATATACTGCAAAAGTGAATCAGAACATGTTGAACATTTCTTTTTAGAGGGAAGTCATATGACAACACCCTTCTCAGCCAAATAAGTCAATCAACTATTTAGGGAGTGTTTGCAACAGCTTCTGCTTAAAAAAAAGCTATGTTGTAAAAACCGGACCGGAGAGTGACCCGGAGCGATGGCCGGGTCAAGGGTCAACCCGGACCCGGCGGGTCAACCCGGTCAACGCCCGGAAAACCCGGTCAACACACACATATAATATTTAATATTTATACACATAAATATGTATATTAGTATATATATAGGTTGAAAATGTTATTCCTTCATACATTAATAATGATGATACAATATAATTCAATTAATAAATTATTATTTTAGAGTTGGTTTACAAAAAAAAAAAGATTTGGTTGTAGATGGATAAAATATATAGATATGACAACAATTACAAAATATTCAAAATAATATATATATATATGTATACATATATATATATATTTTCACATATACTTGAAACATGAAACATAAAACGGAGTATACATAATGGGAAGTATAATATAAACATGAGTGTATAACTATATATGTATTATTATTATTTTGAATTGTTTAGTTAACCAATAGTTAATGCTTAATAAATAGGGTTGTATACGAACCGAATCGAGTCGAATAGCAGGATTTTGTATTTGTATTTGATTAATTTTTTCGAATACGAATTCGAATTCAAATATGAAACGAATATTAATTTCGATTTGTATTTGTATTTGTTTAACAATACGAATAGTTAACGAATCTTATACGAATATCGAATAGATTTGAGCATAGGTTAAATATTAGTCAAATATCACTTTAAAATAAATTTTCTTATATTTTTTTATGTTGTAAATGTACGCTATGTCGTGTTTTTAGAATTTAAATTGTGCATGATATACTAAAGTGAATCAATTTTATGATTAACAAATATAAATCTATTTCAAACTTTTAGAAATAAACACAACACACATATTAGAAATTATACTTACAATGTGTGAAATAAGTTGATAATTGTATATATCATAGTCAGACGTCTCTAATTTTATTCTTCAAATCGAATACATAATTATTTGTATTGTATTTAAAACACATTTGAACCAATAATCTGATTTGTATTCGTATTTATACTTTGATTTATTACAAATGGACTTAGGATTTGTATGCATAAATGTATGTATGACCTACATTTTAGGGTATTGCTATCCTTTAAAAGTTATTATAGTGTTATTACTATTATTATTAATATTATTATTAATATTAATATTAATATTAATATTAATATTAATATTATCACTATTATTAATCGAATATATTTGATTAATATTCGAATCGAATACACTGATATTCTTATTTGTATTTGATAACAACTCGAATCAAATTTAATATTTGTATTTGTATTTGAATTTTCCGAATTCGAATCATCTTATACAAATTCGAATCGCGAATCGAGCACAAATTATTTGATTCGTTTACAACCCTATTAATAAATACTCCTTTGTGGGGCAAAAAGGTACGTAGTACGTATGTGTGTATTATAATATCATCATAGCTACACATCTTGCCAGAAAAGGAAGCTGGTCAAATGGAATGAAAGCCAAAATGCTACCCCGGTGGCGCAGGTTCGAGTCCAGCATACGCCATTTCGTCCCAATGTCTGGGTTTTGGAAAAAAACTGAGTTTCTGCGGTTCCGGGTGCGGGCCAGTTCTACACGGGTCATTGGGTTTTTCCGAGTTTCATCAATTAACGGGTTAAACGATAACCGAACCGGATTTGAAGCCGGGTGACCGGGTTCCGGGTCGACCCGCCCGGTCCGGTCCGGTTCTTTCAACATAGAAAAAAAGCACTTTTGGAGTGATTTGGAAAAAGTAATTAGTTGTAAAAGTTGATAGTGTTTGAAAAAAATGTGATTTTGAAAAGTAAAAGTTGATAATGTTTGGTAAAATAAGTGCTTTTGGTGTATAAAAGGGGGAACACACTTTTGACACGAAAGTCGAGAAAATTAAAAAATTGGTAGTGTTTTTTTTAAATTGTTGCAAACCAACCCTTATTAAGCTTATTCTACTTATACATGGCTACCAAAAGGACAATAACATTAAGAATTCATTGCTTCGAATAGTCCATAGCTCGATATCATCGATCCAATTCTGACATTTGTACTTCCCATTTTAATGTGCAGTAGCCAGAAAGACGAGTTGTAAAAACCGACTACTTCAAAGTATGCACATAGCAAAGGACTAACATGTTCAGGGCCTGTTTGGAGCGGGAAAAGGGAAAAGGGGCAAAAATACCCACCAAGTTCACACCAAAGGAGATTTATGCCCATGAACTTTATTTTTGAGCAAAAACCTTTACCAAACCTTAAATGAAGGCAAATAACCCCTTGACTAACAGAAACAAAGTAACGGAACATGCCAGCGTTAATGTGCAAGGCAGAGTTTACTCACTGCAAGTTCAAAATCCCCAGACATGCCCATGGACATCTCGCATTGCTCTTCAGCTATTTGAATTGTCTTGCATACCTCACTTCTACAATTTGCCAACGTCTAGAAGAAGCAGCAGTATATTGTATTAATAAGCCATTCATTTTTGGAGAAGAAAACTAATTGATGACATCAGGTGACAAGAAACCTTAAAATTCTCTTGTGTCGATATATAATCAGGCATTCCAATTGTCATAAGGCCACAGAATTCAAGGTAAGGGCAGCTTGAAGTAACATGTTGGACAAGGCTCACACACCCAGCTGGTTCAATGCGATATTTACCTGCAAAAATATTAGAAACTTATCTTTCCTTTTCTCCTGTTAGAAGATTATTTATTTTATAAAGAAACAACTAATAAGTAAGAGACCTACTCATCCTTGTTTACTCACTTTTACCTGCTGGCATATTTTAATAATTTATGATCATCCCAGAAGACCTCCTGCAATAGCTATGCATATTTTCATCAGACTCCACATGTTGGCATATTTTCAGACTACCTGCTGGCATATTTTTACTCCCTCCGTCCCACAAAATTCTTCCCAGATTGACTTGGCACGGAGATTAAGAAAGTGGAACAAAGTGGAAATGTATGGTTGTGGTTGTGTAAGAAAAAGGTGAAATGAATGTGAACCACACAAATTGTCCAAAAATGGTAAGTGGGAAGAATTTTGTGGGACGGTCCAAAAAGGAAAGTGGGAAGAATTTTGCGGGACGGAGGGAGTATAATTTATGATAGCCAGTCAGAATTTTTTCATCAGACTCCACCTGTTGGCTTCAAACATAGATAGGCCTAGTCCAGCTGAGAATTTCTTCCTCCAGTCACTGGTGCATAAATTTTGCTTTTGACGGGAGCACCTTCTCAGACGTGAAAATAATACGGAGTATTGCTTTAGACGCAGTATCTCGTTAAAGTATATCAGCCACATAATTGAAGGTCAGGCATGATAACCATCTCCCTGCTCTCCCTGCTCAATATGTTTAAAAGAGACACGATGTTTTCATGTTCAGGATGAGAACTGTGGCCCATGAAAAACGCTGTGATATTTCCTTGCAAGTCGATAAAACTCCATCCTGGCAGTTTTTTCAGGCCAAGATTCTTCATTTGGAGCCACACCTTACCAACCCCCTCCCACTGTGTATTCGAAGCATAGCTACGAGCCAGTTGCACATATTTCCCAGCATCATCAAGTTCCAACACAGATATCTCTGTGGCAATAAGATCCCCCATATCTACCAAACCCTTCTTTCCTCTACAGGAATCAAGCAGTATACCTAAAACATCAATCATTGGATTTGGGAACCATGTTTTATAAAAACCATAAGCATCTCTAACCCTACCGGCTCGACAAAGGAGATCAACTACGCAAGCACAATGTTCAACTTCTGGCTCAATTCCAAAATCATTCCTCATGGACTCGAACAAGTTCATTCCTTGCTCAACAAGTCCATTGTGACTACATGCATACAAAATAGTCAAGAAGATGACACTGTTTGGTACCGTTCCACTTTCCACAAGCCTTGAGTACAACTCCAGAGCAATCTTTCCTTCTCCGTGGCTGCCATAACCGGCAATGATTGTGCTCCAAGAAACCAAATCATGTTCCTCCATCTTGTCAAAACACTTCCTGGCAGTATTCATATCACCACACTTGCAGTACATATCAACCAAAGCAGTGTCTATCATGATACAAGGTCCAAGACAGGTCCTGATAACAAAGTTATGAACCCACTTCCCCTGCTGAAAACCTCCCGTCGAGGCACAAGCTTGAAGAAGGGAAACTATGGTTATTGAGTCAGGTTTTTGATGGGTTATTCTCATTCCATTGAACATATGGAAAGCAGTTGACAAATCTCCGTTCTGAGCATGCCCTGCAACAATGGCATTCCATGACACCAAATCTTTTTTCTCTATCATATTGAAAATCGCAAGGCTTTGCTTTAAAAAGCCGCATTTAGAATACATAGTGACAAGAGAGTTTTGGGCTGGAGAGTCCATCACTATTCTTTGCCTCACTATGTGACCATGTATTGAAGTTCCCACTTTCAATAAACCCAACTGTGAACAAGCAGCAAGTACACTGGCTAAGGTGTTAGTAGATGGTATAGTTCTTGAATCTAGCATCCAACGGAAAACTTCCAATGCTTTTAGTGGATGTTCGTTTTGAACAAGACCTGAGATAACAGATGTCCACAAAACTGCATCCTTATTGTTTGCTTTCTCAAAAATATGAAACGCGTATTCCAATTGTCCACATTTAAGATACATTACTATAAGTGATGTTTCAAGATGTACATCTAATTCAAATCCATGGGCTATGATCTGACCATGAGCCAATCTTCCTATTTCAAAACTACCCCCTTTTGAAATTGCAGAAACCAACGACCCGTATGTTTGAGAATCAGGATCTAGACCCTCAAACCACATCCTACGCATAAGACTTAGTATTTCATTCGTGTTTCCCATCAAAATGTAACCAGAAATCAATGAATTCCAGGAAACAACATCCTTTTCATGCATGGATTCAAACACTTCCCTTCCGCAGTCAACCCTTTCACATTTACTGTACAGGCTTAACATGCAATTCATCAAGACTAAGTTAGATGTGAAACCATATTTTACAATACTAGAGTGAAGACATCTCACGAGATCACTCTGTGTCACTCCAGACAACAACGTCAAAACAGTAACTGCACTGGGCTTTATCATATCCTGCTGCATAGAGCTATACAAGAGGAGTGCATTGTTAGTATCACCGTTCCGAGCATAACACCCGATAATTGCTGTGCACGGAACAATACTCTTCTCGCGCATTTTATCGAACACATTGCGAGCTTTACCAGTGCACCCATATTTAGAATAAAAGGTTATCAAAGACGATGCAATGTAAGGATCAGCACAGAACCCATTGACGAGCACGTGTTGGTGGACAGAAAGACCGAGATGAAAGAGGTTGAGGGAAGTGCATGCTTTGAGGAGGCTAGGATATGTAAAGGTGTCAGGGGGAACAGAGGCTTTTAGCATGGAGGAATAAGTTAGTATGATTTGGTGGTAGGCACCTTCGTGGGAGAGGCGGTTGATGATTGCATTGAATGACTTGGTGCAAGTAGATTGAGGAGATGACAATGGACAATGAAATGTGTTGGGTAAGAGCTTGTTCATCGTGCATGGTTTCTTTCTAGCTTCCCTTCAAAATGCTGGGTTCCATTCTCTTTTTCTTCCACTGTCAAAATTCATTTTACGGAACACTTCACATGATTTATATTGTTCTGTCTATTTTCTTACAAACAAAAACTGCAAATTCTATTTAGTGTGCTATTTAGATAAAACATGCACTAGGTGAACTATAATTATATACATACACACACACACACATATGTATTTGTTATATAAGCAACAGCGCATCAGTGAACTATAACATTTGAGTTCCCTTTCATATTCAAATCAAGTTAATATCAGTACTAACTTCTATATTTCAAAAATTATAAATGAAAAGATTTTGGATTTTCTATCCTCAATATTAACTTAGGTCATCAAATGACAGATATAGGAAACTCAAGTTACTTAACATACATTGTATTTTGGAAAATAAGAATATGTTTTATGTTATGTCTTCAGAATTTTAGCATAACTATGAATGTCATACTTTCTTAACTTCCATATTCCTGCTTCTAATGATGGTCAACTTTTTATTTTATGGTACAAATATTACTTGCTGATACATTCTCTTTTTATTTGTTACTTTCAACTAGGGTAATGTAAACATTCAAATGCAGCATGCATGGAAGCAGTTCAACATATAGTAAGAGGCCGAAAAGCTGAACCAGGGCGTATTTCACTATTTCCTAGCTGGTTTCTAGAATGTATAACAACAGAATGGATGCATGTTGCAACACAGATTCAGATATAGTAGTAAATCAATCAATTCCTTCAAATAAACATCTGCTATATACAGTCAATTGTTTCACCTCTTAATAGAAAAAGATGGACGGGGATACAGAGCTTTGTTTTATTATTGTTTGGGAGAGTTAATATTGAAGTGGTCTGCACTTTATCACTTACCTCTTCAGATCCTGCCCATAAATATCCACTATCCACTCATTAGCACCTCTCAAGTCTAAATTCCTCCCCTTTAAATCAACAACTCATTCATATCCCCTCCCCCTCAATTTTTGAACTCGTATATGCTTTTGGAACAAAGCTTAGGCTTTAAATACTTAGTGATGCAACAATTGATGGTATGCTATAAGAATCCCCTACCCCTTCTATTAATTAAATATGTGTGTGCTTTTGTTTTAACAATTAGCTTTACACAGTGATGGTGATGCAACAATTGATGATAAGCTATAAAACATGTAAAAAAATCATGCTATACTGAGACTGTTTTTTTTAAGTAAGATACTAGTACTATCTAGTGATCAATCTAGTGACAAAAAATCAGAAATTTAAGATAAAAACCTGATAATATTTGTGTGTTTGGTGTGACTTGTGATAAAAATATGGAAATATGGGATTACATCTATCTTCTTGTTTTCCCTGATGTTGAGCTTCTAGATGTGTAAGAAAAATTGAAAAAAATGAAAGATTTAATTTTACCTAAGCAAGATGGTCTTTTTCTCATTCATGGTGTAGGATGCCAGTTTTCTTTGAGGTCACCACCGGCTCGCCGGTACTGGTGAAATGGTTGAGAAATTCAGCCGACGATTCTTCGAGGCTTTCGTTGGAGTCTGCGTTACCGACGTTTGAGTGTTCCAGCGAGAATAAGGCTTTGTTTGCAAAAAGCTACTCCCTCCGTCCCAATTTACTTAGCCAAACATGATTTTCTAAGTCAATGGTACTTAACTTTGACCGCTTATATATTTATATAGATAAAATATTAATAATATGAAAATTATATGAAAATGTTCTTTGTTGAAAATACTATCATAAAAGTATATAATTATTATTTTTTGCATAAATATATTAGTTCAAATAATTGCTCAAAGTTTACGACCTTTGACCGGAAAAATCAAGATTGGCTAACTAAAATGGGACGGAGGGAATATTAAATAAAAGCACTTTTCCCGGAAAAAGTGACAGTAAAATAAATGTTTTTTTTATGTAATAGAAAAAGTAAAAAATAGATTCTACACAAAAATCGAGAAAATAAAAGTTGATAGTGTTTGGTAAAATAAGTGTTTTTTTCTTAAAAAAAAAGTCAAAATCAATTTTCTTAAGTGATTGCAAACAAGCCCTAATTAGCAGTGGGTGAAGAAATGATTTTGAAAGAATAAAAAATGAACTAATTTGAGTTTACACCCCATTTTATTGTGTGAATTGAATTTTGCACCATGTTTTTAAGAACCTTTGTTTTTGTATCACAACCCCGTAAAAAGACAAAAATGCCCTCCATTAACAATTATGTTCGCCTTCAATATATTCCTGATTGAGGGGCATTTTTTTCTTTTCATACGAGGTTAGGGTGCAAAAACAAAGAATTTTAAAAACGGGGTGCAATGTCCAATTTGAACAATAAAATGGGGTACAAACTCAAATTACCCCATGAAAAATCTCCTTCTTAGGGCATATCCGGAGGTCCATTGTCGTTTCACCTCATTGTCAAAATGCACCTTTTATATGCACCTTTTTTATAGATAGGATGTTTTTATTTGGACGGTTTTCAGTAGTAGCAGACTTTTAGAGTTTTAGTTGAAAGAGAATTTTTTTACCTGATTAAGCCTACACACCTATCTATCCTAATTGTACTAGGATGTTCGAATTCTCTCCTATAAATACAGGCAGAGGGGTCGAATAGCCTAAGACTCTACACGATTAAATTAATTTTGCACTTATCATTCTCGTAGAGCACCTCTAGTTTTTCCTTGGACTGTTTTCAGCCCCTGACCAGACCAAACGAGAATTAAACAGACTAGACTACAAACCAGACTAGACCAGACCAGACTTAAATAAATCATATCAGACCAGACTTGACTTCTGTAATTATAAATTACACATACTTGAATGAAAACATAAAAGCACAAATAGAAACTTGGAGAAAATACTTTACGCAAAGTTCAATGTTCAAAGTTGTGTTTTACCCAATATGTATTAGAGCACACACTAACACATACACACACCCGCGCGTTCACACACACACAGAGGATTATTCTTGTCCGGCACGTCCGAATAGGAGCCCCGTCCGATCGCCATCATTTGGGGCAGTTCACGGTGGTACTTTTTGCTGAAATGTTTTTTTGCATGTCCTTCATCATGTTTACTTATCCACACCTTAGCTAAAAAATCAACTGGGAAGACACTCAAATGATTTTTGGAAGATAACTGTGTTTCATATGTATATAAAAGGCGCAGTTAACTTCCAAAAATTATTTGATTGTCTTCCCGATTAACTTTTAGCTGAATTTGGTATTGATAAACTAGACTTCATAGGATTTTTGGGCCCTCTGAATTGCGGTGGCAATTTCGTACCAAGTCTATCAAATCTAAGATAAGAATCGTTAATAAAATAAATAAGGATTTTGTATATTATGTAGACTATATTTAAAATTTTGGACCCTCTGAAGCGAGAGACATTGTGCAGTAGCACTTTTTGCACACCCTTATCTACGGCTCTGGAACTAACTAAGTATATATACACATACACGTACATAATTTTTGGGAATTTTAATCAAATTTGTTTTTACTTGGCAAAACATTTCCTGAGCTCAAAACATAGCCTTAATGTGCAAAGCATAGTTTACTCACTGTAAGTTCAAAATCCCGAGATATGACCATTGAGGATGCTTTTACTTGGACTGAAATTTTCTGGTCTGGTAAATGTCTGATCTCTTATGTTTTATAAAGCTATCCAAATCTGTTCTAGGCTGAAAATATCATGACAACTCGCATTGCTCTTCAGCTATTCCAGTTGTATGCATACCTGGCATCTACAATTTGCTAACATATAGTCTAGTACAAGCAACTGGATAATGTAGCAATAAGCCATTCATTTTTAGAGAAGAAAATTAATTGATGATATCAGGTGACAAAAAACCTTAAAATTATCTAGTGTCGACGTATAATCAAGCATTCCAATGGTATCTTCAAGAACCCCTATAGTAGTGATTATTCAGATAAAAAAGGAATGCAACATATCTGTGTTATGATAATCACATACTCCCTCCGTCCCGAACATGTTTGTCAACTTTGACTTTCACGTAGATTAATAAAGTAAAAACTGTGTGGTTGAAATTTGTGCAGATGAGAGAGAATTAACCTTAGACACATATTCCTTACTTTAAATGAAAATGACAAATCTTTTTGAGACATACAAAAAAGGAAATTTGGCAAACCTTTTCGGGATGGAAGTAGTATGTGAGAGCCTGTCTTAGGCATGGCAATGGGTCGGGGCAGGGCGGGTATTGCAAGATCCGGACCCGCCCCGTGACTTCGCGGGGCGGGTCCGCCCCGCCCCATGACCTGCACGGGTCCAAACTTGTTGACCCATGACCCGCCCCATGCGGGGCGGGGCGGGTCCACCCCGCCCCGCCGCAACCTAATTAGCTAGTATGTATTTTTATTTGTGGAAAGTTGTTACCAATTGAATCTACATAAAGTTTATCTCTAAATAATAATTAAAAATCAATATATTAAATCAAATTCATGATACGTTAAAATTTTCAAAAATTAAGGAAAAATTACTCAGACTTGAATAGTTAATCTAATTAGTTATATTAATAATTGAATATATGTATTAAAATTCTATATATAAAGAAGACATTGATAATCCGTCGTTCATCTCATTCTAATATATATTCATATATTATAAAATCAAATAATTTATGATTTATTCTATACACACATATGTATGTTGAAGTATATTTGTAGTATAATTTAAGAAAAAGTATGTATACTTATATATTGAGCGGGTCGGGGCGGGGCGGCACGGGTCAATTCTAATACCCAGACCCGCCACATTGTATAGGCGGGGCGGACCCGCCCCATTTGCAAGACGGGGCGGGGCGGACCCGCCCCAAATGTCTCGGGCCAGGGCGGGTTATTGCGGGTCGGGTTTTTTTGACATCCCTAGCCTGTCTATTGCCACAGGTCCCTACACCACTTAGCCATATACTAAATCCCTATTGGTAAATGGACAACTGTATATACTACGTATACTATAGTAGACGGCGAATACTAGACGCTTTGAGGTTCTCCAAATTGGAGAATTAGAGCAATATTGATATATGGACAACTGAATACTATAGTAGACGGCGAATACTAGACGCTTTTAGGTTCTCCAAATTGGAGAATTAGAGCAATATTGATATATGGACAACTGAATACTATAGTAGACGCTTTCAGATTCTCCAAATCCTGCAATGATGAAATTTCTATATGTTGGAAGTATTGGTCCTACCAAGGCCTCCCTTCCACTTTATTTGTTGAGGCTTGCACACTCTATTTTATTCTCCCTTGGATACCTTTTCTTTGGTATATATCCTGATCAAATATATACCTATTTGAGTGGTTTGACTTACCCACTTGACTGGCCCCTCCTCTGCTTCTGTCCGCTGCACTTCTTGTCTTGGTAGCATGTGAAGTTTCTTTGTATTGCATCACCCGTGACCATTTGTCTTTGTTCACCCGTGAGTGCCTAATAGGCAAAATGTCTATTATAAAGTCAACCCTCCCTTTGCCTTTGAGAGCAGCCTGCGTGAGTATCATCCTTTGTGTGAAGAGAGTAGAGCTCACTTCTTCTTCCTCCTTTGTGTGAGTGTAGAGAGGTCTAAGTGGAGAGTATAAAGTGTGTGCTATAGCTTCCTCCTAGTGTGGTGTGTGAGAGTGTGTGTTGAAAGACCTGAGCTGGAGACGGAATCCATACCTTACAGTGGTATCAGAGCCGGAGTTCGCCGTCTGCCGCCGCCCGCCGCCGCCCGCCGCCGCCCGCCGCCGTCGATTGGAGCTCGCCGAAGTTCCTGGAGTTGCCTGGTGGGTCTCACGAGCTCGCTGGCCTTCCATCGTGGTCTGCTGTTGAAATCGAGCTTGCCTCGCCATCGCCGCTCGAAGCTCTGCCGTCGCCTGGAAGCTCGCCTGGGTTCGTAGGAAGGTACCCGCCAGAAAGTCCGCCGTCTGCCTGGAGTTTCAACCGCCGATTGGCTCTCGGCCTGGGAGTTCGTGTCTGAGGCCACTCGTCCCCCATCGTTTTTCGTTTGATTCGCAGAAAGTCCTGAGCGAGGAAGACGAAGGCCGCTGGTTCTGTCCGTATCTCGAACGTCGAAACGTTGGGCCCCTGTGTTATTGTAGCTGGACGCTGGTCTGTACACTGGGCGCCAGGGACGTCCAGATTTGGGCCAGAGTGCTGCTAGGCTGTCTTTTGGGCCTCTGGAACTGGGCTTCTGGACTGCTGCTTTGCTAATGGACTGAGGTTGCTGTTCTAGGCTGGAGCTGGATTACTTGGACCGGGCTGGAGTGCTGACTTGGACTGGAGACCTGGACAGCTGAGGAGCTGGACCACCAGTCAACCGCCGCCGGTCAACGGTGGTCAACGCCGGTCAACGGCAGTCAACCCTCCAGAAAAATCCCAATTTAAAAAAAAAATTGGGTAGGTAAGGTCGAAACGCTCTCCTAGGGTTTCGCGAAGGTGAGTTTTCGATAAACTTCCTATTTATTTTATTCCGGTTTTAATTTAATTTATTCCCCCTCCCCGCGGGCCGCCGGTTGATTTAATCCCGGCCGCCAACCCCCCAGGTACGTACTAAACTTTCTCCTTTGTGGTAGACTGTTTTAGTTAATTAATTAAATTGCTTTGTGTTATTTAATTTATTTGTTATGCGTAGGGGTGGTTTATTGGGTGGTAGGGGTAGAATTAATTAAATTTATTTTTCTGCCCAGAATTGTTTAATTGCCAAAATGTCCATTTTTTGCTATGTGTTGCATGCTGTCCGGGGTTATTAAAGTGAATACTTTATAACCCGGGTTGGATTATTTTCTGTCAATTCTGTCTGTTTAGCTTTGTGTTCCTTTGTGGTTGATACCATGGCTGCAAATCAGTATGGTATGCTTCCATTTAATGGAAAAACGGATTTTGATATTTGGAAACAGAAAATAAAGTGTGTTTTAATACAGCAAAAAGTTTTCAGAGCTGTCACTGGTATTTTCCTTGAATCAGAAGATAAGGCTAAGCAAATTGAAATGAACGAAACTGCTTGTTCTACTATTTACTTGAATCTGTCTGGTTCTGTGCTTAGGAAAGTGGGTATTCTTGAGTCCGCTAAGGAGTTGTGGGAGAAATTGGATAGTCTCTATACTGATACCTCTTTGCCCGGGAAGTTGTTCTTACTAGAGAAATTCTTTAGGTTTAGGCTTGACCTGACTAAGGATATAGACTGATACAAAATAGATGAGAACCTGGATGTGTTTAATAAACTGATACAAAATATCAAACAGGCAGGTGATAAACACATAGATGATTACACTCCCATAGTATTACTTAATGCCATTCCCGACTCTTATAATGATGTTAAGTCCGCTATTAAGTACGGTAGGGATGAGATTTCGTTAGACATTGTTGTGAATGGGTTAAGGAGTAAGGAATTAGACCTGAAGCATGCTAGGGGTAGTGCTAGTCAGTCCAGGGACTCCGGTGAGGCTATGTTTGTTAGGGGTAGATCTAAGGGTAGGTCTAAGAACTCTAAGCAAAATAGTCAGGGTAAGAACACTAGTCAGCCTGGGAGGAAGAGGAGTAAATGAAGAGAGTGTGTTACAATTGTGGTAACACTGGCCATTTCATTAAAGATTGCCCCCACCCTAAGAAGACCGAGCATGCTAGTGTAGCTGTTGATAAATGCGACCTTGGTGATATTTTGATGGTTTGTGACCATGTTAATTCTGTGAGAAATTCCCTGTCTGAGCATGAATGGTTGATTGACTCTGGTTGTACCTATCACATGTCCCCCTTTAGAGATTTGTTTTCTACTTATGAATTATGTGATAGTGGCTACGTTTCCTTAGCTGATAATAAGAGATGCAATGTGCTTGGTGTTGGTGATATATGTCTGAAATTTTCTTGTGGCTCTGTGTTTACCATTAAGAACGTGAGGCATGTCCCTGATTTGTGTCATAACTTGTTATCTGTTGCTGCTTTGGAGAGTAGTGGGTTACAGGGAAAATGGGGGAATGGTTGTATGAAAATCCTGAAAAACTCGCTTGTTTTGTTTAAAGCTGAGAAGGTGAATAACCTTTATGTGTGTCATGCTAAACCTTTTGCTGAGTCTATGAATGTTGTATGTTCTGATAAGACCTCTTTGTGGCATAATAGGCTAGGACATATGAGCAATAAGGGTTTAGATGTCATGCGTAGGGCGGGTTATTTTGGTAAGGACTCTGTGACTTCTGTGCCTTTCTGTGAGTCATGTGTGTTGGGCAAGCAGCATAGAGTCAGTTTCCCTCCTTCCTCTTACCATAATCTGTCTAAGTGTTCGTCTGTGCTTGAATATGTTCATGCTGATGTTTGGGGTCCTGCCAGTGTTCCTACCCACGGGGGTAGGAAATATTTCCTTTCTATTATCGATGACTTTTCTAGGAAGGTGTGGGTTTGCCTTTTAGAACACAAGTCAGATGTGTTTGTGAGGTTTAGGGAGTGGAAAACCCTAGTTGAAAACCAAACTGGCAGGAAGGTTAAAACCCTTAGGACCGATAACGGGTTAGAGTTCTGTAATAAGGAGATGGATAAGCTGTGTGTGGATTGTGGGATAAAAAGGCACAAAACTGTGCCTTATACTCCCCAACAGAATGGGATAGCAGAGAGAATGAATAGGTCTCTATTGGATAAGGTTAGAAGCATGTTAGCTACCTCTGGTTTGTCTAAGAAATTCTGGGGTGAAGCAGTCACTACTGCTGCCTATTTGGTTAATAGGTCCCCGTCTGTCCCTCTTGGTGGTAAGTGTCCTGAAGCCGTCTTTACCGGTAAGCCTCTTGATCTGTCTAACCTTCGAGTGTTTGGTTGTGCAGCGTATGCACACCAACAGGGTGACACGTTGGATCCTAGGTCTAAGAAATGTGTCTTCCTAGGTTATCCAGAGGGGGTAAAGGGTTACAGGTTATGGGATAGGAACCAGGTAGGCTTTAAAGTGGTCCTTAGCAGAAATGTGGTGTTTAATGAAACTGATTTTCCTTGCTTGACCGAGTCTGCTTCTAATCCTGAGTCTAGGTCTGATAGTACTCCTAGTGAGGTGGAGTCTGTCCCTGTTGCTGCTAGTCCTTTATCTGTTGATCCTGTTATTTCTGATGATATTGTTATGCATGATTCTGATTCCTCTAAGCATGTTAGTCCCACCACCTCGAGTGAGGTGGAGCATTTGCATGATACTGAGCATGATTTGCATGATATGGGTGCTGAATCTGATTTTCATGATAACAATAATTTGCATGAGTTGCATGTGGAGCCTAGTAGTGATAATTTGCATGATTATCAACTTGCTAGAGATAGGAATAGAAGGGCTATCAGGAGAACTGCTGATAGTATGCCTGATTATGCTTTCATTGTGCATGATACTTCTATGTTTGCATTTTCTGTGTTTGAATCCCTAGAGCTGAATGAACCCAAGACCTACCGTGAAGCCTTAGGTTCCAAAGAGTCTCAGAAATGGATTAGTGCCATGAAAAATGAGATGGACTCTTTGAGAGTGAACCAGACTTGGACCCTTGTACCTAGACCCCCCAACTGTTCGGTAGTTGAGTGTAAGTGGTTGTTTAAGGTTAAGGAAGAACCTAGTGATGTTAGGTTTAAGGCTAGGTTGGTTGCGAAGGGGTTTACTCAAAAAGAGGGGGTAGATTATGCAGAAATCTTTGCTCTTGTTGTTAAATTCACCACTATTCGTATGATGCTTGCTTTAGTTGCTCACCATGACTGGGAAATGAAACAGATGGATGTAACTACTGCTTTTTTGCATGGTGAATTGGATAAAACAATTTATATGACCCAGCCTGAGGGCTTTGTGGATCCCAAGAGAAGTGAGCATGTCTGTTTGCTTAGGAAGGCTTTGTATGGCCTGAAGCAATCCCCTAGGCAGTGGAACATCAAATTTGATAAATGCATGATATCTTTGAAGTTCCAAAAATCTGTTTGTGATCATTGCCTGTATTTCAAAAATACTTCTTCTGTGCCTGTATTTTTGTTACTCTATGTGGATGACATGCTGATAATTAGTCCCTCTCTGAATGCTATTAAACATGTGCAGAAATGTCTTTGTGCGAATTTTGCCATGAAAGACCTAGGTGATGCCAAGAGGATTCTAGGCATAAACATTGTTAGGGATAGGAGTAAGCGTACTCTTACTTTGAATCAGATTTCTTACATAGAAAAAGTTTTGAGTAAATTTAATATGTTATCTGCTTCTCCTGTTAATGTCCCTATGGCATCTCACTTTGTGTTAAGTAAGGACCAGTCTCCCAAGACTGCTCCTGAAATTGAGAAAATGAAATATGTGCCTTATTCCAGCGCAATAGGGTCGGTGATGTATCTTATGGTTAGCACTAGACCTGATATTGCATATGCGGTTAGTTGCTTGAGTAGATATATGTCCAACCCTGGTTTGCCCCATTGGAATGCTCTTAAGTGGTTGCTTAGATATCTGATTTCTACTGTGAAGCATGGATTAATTTTCTCTAAATGTGCTAGTGGTATTGAATTGATTGGTTATGTTGATTCTAACTATGCAAATGATAGAGATAACAGGAAGTCGACCACTTCTTATGTGTTTACTTTGTGTGGCTCTTGCATTAGTTGGAAGTCTCAACTACAGCCTATTGTGGCCCTTTCTACCACTGAGTCCGAGTATGTTGCAACCACAGAAGCGTTTAAGGAAGCCATCTGGCTCAAACGCCTTGTCTCTGAAATTGGGTTTCTCAAAAAGGGAGTTACCATTTTCTCGGATAGCCAATCGGCTATCCAACTTTGCAAAAATCCTGTATTTCATGATAGAACTAAGCATATTGATGTTAGGTTCCATTTCATACGTGATATTGTTGATGCAGGTGGAGTCAAGCTGTGCAAGATCCCGTCGGAGTTTAACCCCGCGGATATGGGTACCAAGTGTCTTTCTGCTGAGAAGCACTTGTCCTGTAAACGCGTGTTAAACTTTGACTGTGGATAACTGTGGGTTGCCTAATAAAGTGTTTGCCCGTTGTGTCTGTTGATATTCCGGGTGACCCGGCGAAGATGAGTCTTGTCACAACTTTGTTTTGTTACTCTACACCACCTAGGACCAATAAGGTGGAGAATGTTGGAGATATTGGTCCTACCAAGGCCTCCCTTCCACTTTATTTGTTGAGGCTTGCACACTCTATTTTATTCTCCCTTGGATATCTTTTCTTTGGTATATATCCTGATCAAATATATACCTATTTGAGTGGTTTGACTTACCCACTTGACTGGCCCCTCCTCTGCTTCTGTCCGCTGCACTTCTTGTCTTGGTAGCATGTGAAGTTTCTTTGTATTGCATCACCCGTGACCATTTGTCTTTGTTCACCCGTGAGTGCCTAATAGGCAAGATGTCTATTATAAAGTCAACCCTCCCTTTGCCTTTGAGAGCAGCCTGCGTGAGTATCATCCTTTGTGTGAAGAGAGCAGAGCTCACTTCTTCTTCCTCCTTTGTGTGAGTGTAGAGAGGTCTAAGTGGAGAGTATAAAGTGTGTGCTATAGCTTCCTCCTAGTGTGGTGTGTGAGAGTGTGTGTTGAAAGACCTGAGCCGGAGACGGAATCCATACCTTACACTATATTCATAGGAAAGGGTGTATGATAAATCAGCACTAATAAGGCATCCTAATGTTAAAGGAAATAAAAAACAGTTATTGAGCTAATATCATGAGGCTGTTAGAATGTTGTATACTGTTTGAAACAAAAATAACAGCACAAATCAAAAAAGTCGACTGAAATCAAAATCTCTTCCAATTTAGTAGCAAAAGAAAATCAATAGCTCATTGATTGGGTAGGAAACATACTTAGAATCAGGAGGGATCAATCACGAACTAGAGATGACTGGTCCAGGATGAGAACGTTTAATTCTTGGGCACTACCGACCAAAACATACAAACGAATGGAAATAAGGTACAAGTACAAATACACATAAGCAAAAACACAAATCCTATGGAAGTGGAGTCCTTAGCACATGCGGCCTTTGCCATCTTCTTAATGACGCGTTTGTAAGACCTCACAAAATGACTGGAAAATCCGGCTACCTCCGGATCAAAAGGGTGGACAAACCCCTTCCCCAGCAAGTGCAGGTTGTCTTTAATCAGGATATCCATGCTCTTGTTGAAAGTATCAAGAGCAAGGGCCTCCACAAACTCTTTACCCTCCTCCGAACCGTCGAGGAGATCGATCCCTGCTTTCAAAGGATCCTCACTGTGCTGCAAGTGTTAGAAATTAAACTTGGCTTAGCCCAATCATTGGGTCCATTAGAAGTTAACTTATTGGGCTAGTAGTTGTATGAGAAATAATAAATTAGTTAGCCCATAAGTTAGAGTTAGTAAAGAAAGATCTAGAGTAGTCTTTAGTTAATGTACTTATTAAATAATTCTAGAATGTTCCTAAGCTAGAATTCTATGGAATATTGTAGAATCTTAAGGAAATAGGAGTGCCTAGAAGGATCCTATGAGACCTATAAATAGAGCACTCCTCACTCATTTGCAATATAAGCAAAAGCTCCAAATCAATAAAAGTTTCAAGTTCTTCCAAAATCATCTCTCTCTAAAATTCTCTCTTCCACACACAATCACCTAAATACAATACTCATAAACTCCTTTATTCCAACAAAGTGGTATCAGAGCCATCAATCCTTTCAAGAAAGATGAATGCCAACGGCTTACTTCCCTTCCAATTTCCTCGTCTCACCAAAGATAACTACTCTAGTTGGTGCATTCGCATGAAAGCCTTGCTAGGATCTCAAGATGCATGGGAGATTGTTGAGAAAGGTTATGAGGAACCTCAAGATGATGCTACTTTAAATCAATCCCAAAGGGATAGTCTCCAAAGGAGTAGGAGGAAGGATCAACAAGCTCTCACTCTCATATATCAATGCTTAGACGAGGCCATGTTCGAGAAGGTTGCAAATGCCACCACTTCTAAAGAAGCATGGGAAATACTTCATAATTCTTTCAAGGGAGTAGACAAGGTGAAGAGAATTCGTCTTCAAAATCTTAGAGGTGAGTTCGAACAACTTAAAATGAAATATTCGGAATCAATATCCGATTATTTCTCTAGAGTGTTGGGAATTGTAAATGAGATGAAGAGAAATGGGGAGGAACTAAAAGACATAACGGTGATTGAGAAAATCCTTCGCTCTCTCACCAAAGACTATGATTATATTGTGGTGGCCATAGAAGAGTCCAAGGATTTAGAGACCATGACCATTGATCAACTTATGGGCTCACTACAAGTCCATGAAGAAAGAGTTGTGAGAAATAAATCTGATGAATCATTGGAGCATTCCCTTTACTCCAAACTCTCTTTTAAAGAAAGAGGGGATAATAGAGGCGAAGAAAGAGGCCAACGAGGTCGTGGTTATGATCGAGGACGTGGTGCACGTGGAAGAGGTGGTCGAGGTCGTGGTTATACAAAATTCAACAATGAAGAAAGAACTCAATATACACAAGCATCTAGAGGCCGTGGGAGAGGAAGCAAACCACAAAGGTACGACAAGTATCAACTAAGATGTCATAATTGCAATAAATATGGTCACTATGCATATGAATGCAAGAACTCTCATCATGTTAAAGAAGAGGCACATCTCATGGAGATGAATAACGAGGTAGAACTTACCTTGTTGATGGCAAATCATGAAGAACAAGCGAAGAAGAGCACATGGTATTTAGATACCGGAGCTAGCAACCACATGACGGGAGATAAAAGCTTGTTCGTGAAGGTGGAACATATTCAAGGTCATGTTACCTTTGGAGATGAATCGAAAGTCGTGGTGAATGGTAAAGGTAACGTTCTAATCCGCCTAAACGATGGAAGTCATCAATTCATTTCCGATGTCTACTATGTGCCCAACTTAAAAACAAATATTCTAAGTATGGGACAACTCCTAGAAAAGGACTATGATATTCACTTAAAGAATCGTAGTCTTTCTCTACGAGACAATAATGGGAGACTAGTTGCTAAAGTGCCGATGACTAAAAACCGGATGTTCTTGCTTGATATTCAAAGAGATCATGCCATATTCTTGAAAAGTTGCTTGAAAGACGAGTCATGGATTTGGCACTTAAGATATGGGCACTTAAACTTTGTTGGCTTGAAAATGCTATCGTCCAAAGGCATGGTGAAAGGTTTGCCCTTCATCAATCATCCCGATCAGCTATGCGAAGGATGCCTACTTGGGAAGCAATCAAGGAAACAATTCCCTAAAGAAGTTGCCTCAAGAGCTAAAGAGCCATTGGAGTTAGTCCATACCGATTTATGCGGTCCTATTACTCCATGCTCTCATGGTAAAAGTAAGTATTTTCTCACTTTCATCGATGATTACTCAAGGAAAACATGGGTATATTTTCTTAAACAAAAATCAGAGGCCTTTGAAGCATTCAAGAAATTTAAAGCTCTTATTGAGAAAGAAAGTGGGTACGTTATTAAATCCATGAGATCAGATCGGGGTGGAGAGTTCACATCAAAGGAGTTCAATCAATTTTGTGAAGATAACGGCATCCGTCGTCCCATGACTGTCCCACGCACACCACAACAAAATGGTGTTGCCGAAAGAAAGAATAGGACTATCCTCAACATGGCCCGAAGCATGCTAAAGACGAAGAATATGCCTAAAGAATTTTGGGCTGAAGCTGTGGATTGTGCCGTCTATCTTCAAAATCGCTGCCCCACGAAGAGTCTAGATGGAATAACTCCACAAGAAGCATGGCATGGAGGTAAACCTGGAGTCTCACACTTGAGAGTATTTGGATGCATTGCATATGCTCATGTTCCTGATCAGACTAGATCAAAACTCGATGACAAGAGCGAAAAGTTCATATTCATTGGATATGACAAACACTCAAAAGGGTACAAACTCTACAATCCGGATTTGAAGAAGCTCATAATAAGTCGTGATGTGGAGTTTGATGAAGAAGGCTCGTGGAATTGGAGCATTGGCGACAAAGAAGATTATAGCCTCTTACCATCCATGGAATATGAAGAAGTTGAAGAGAATCATGAAAATATAACTCCTCCACCATCTCCCACTCAATCTCAAGCTTCCCCACCAAGTTCGGATGAAAGAGAAATACCACGCATGCGAAGCATTGAAGAGCTTTACGAGGTAACACAAAACCTGAACTCAAATGATGAACTTACACTCTTTTGTCTATTTGGTGATTGCGAGCCACTAAGTTTTGAAGAAGCCACAAGAAACAAGAAGTGGAGAGATGCAATGGATGATGAGATTAAGTCCATTGTGAAGAACAAAACATGGGAGCTAGCCACACTTCCATCAAATCATAAAGCAATTGGAGTGAAGTGGGTATTTAAGATCAAGAAAAATGCAAAAGGGGAGGTTGAGAAGTACAAAGCAAGACTAGTGGCCAAAGGCTACGCCCAAAGACATGGCATTGATTATGAAGAAGTATTTGCGCCCGTTGCTAGATTGGAAACAATAAGATTGATAATTGCACTCGCGGCTCACAACAAGTGGAAGATACATCAAATGGATGTCAAGTCCGCATTCTTAAATGGGTTCCTAGAAGAAGAAGTCTACATTGAGCAACCCGAAGGTTACAAAGTCAAAGGGCAAGAAGATAAAGTGTTGAGGCTAAGAAAGGCTTTTTATGGGCTTAAACAAGCACCAAGAGCTTGGAATAGTAGAATTGACCAGTACTTCCAAGCTAATGGATTCGTGAAGTGTCCACAAGAACAAGCACTATATGTAAAGAAAAATCATCAAGGAGACATATTGCTCGTGTGCATATACGTGGACGATCTCATCTTTACAGGTAATAATATGACGATGTTCGATGAGTTTAAACAAGTCATGACAAGGGAGTTCGAGATGACTGACATTGGGCTTATGAGTTACTATCTTGGCATCGAGGTGAAGCAAATGGATGATGGTATATTCATCACTCAAGAAGGATACGCGAGAGAAGTACTCAAGAAGTTCAACATGGAGGACTCCAAACCTGTAAGTACACCTGTTGAAAGTGGATTAAAGCTATCAAGGTATGATAAAGAAAAATTGATTGATCCAACTTACTTTAAGAGTCTTGTGGGGAGCTTAAGATACTTAACATGTACAAGACCGGATATTCTCTTTGGTGTTGGACTTGTTAGTCGATTCATGGAGGCCCCTACAACAACTCATTTGAAGGCGGCAAAAAGAATTTTGCGATATCTCAAAGGCACCGCCGAATATGGGTTGTTTTACTCTTCATCTGATGAGTTTAAGCTGGTTGGATATTGCGATAGTGATTGGGGTGGAGATATCGATGACCGCAAGAGCACAACTGGGTTCGTGTTTTACCTGGGAAACACCGCTTTCACATGGGTTTCAAAGAAGCAATCGATAGTCACTCTGTCCACTTGTGAAGCCGAGTACGTTGCAGCAACATCAAGTGTTTGTCATGCAATTTGGCTCAGATACATATTGCAAGCTCTCAGCATGTCTCAAGAAGAAGCAACAACAATATTCGTGGACAACAAGTCAGCTATCGCATTAGCAAAGAATCCAGTGTTTCATGATCGAAGTAAGCACATAGACACTCGATATCATTTCATCCGGGGAAAGATAGCAAAGAAGGAAGTTCAAGTAGAGTATGTGAAGACTCAAGACCAAGTCGCTGATATTCTCACAAAGCCACTCAAGCATGATGTCTTTGCAAAGATGCGGGATCTACTTGGTGTGCTAAGTCAAGTTTAAGAGGGGATGTTAGAAATTAAACTTGGCTTAGCCCAATCATTGGGTCCATTAGAAGTTAACTTATTGGGCTAGTAGTTGTATGAGAAATAATAAATTAGTTAGCCCATAAGTTAGAGTTAGTAAAGAAAGATCTAGAGTAGTCTTTAGTTAATGTACTTATTAAATAATTCTAGAATGTTCCTAAGCTAGAATTCTATGGAATATTGTAGAATCTTAAGGAAATAGGAGTGCCTAGAAGGATCCTATGAGACCTATAAATAGAACACTCCTCACTCATTTGCAATATAAGCAAAAGCTCCAAATCAATAAAAGTTTCAAGTTCTTCCAAAATCATCTCTCTCTAAAATTCTCTCTTCCACACACAATCACCTAAATACAATACTCATAAACTCCTTTATTCCAACAGCAAGAACACGCCTATGTACTCCGACAGGAACTTCTGAGAGGTATTTTTGAGGGCTGCCTTCATTCCGGCCGAGCGTTGGAAATCGATCGAGCCCTGTTTCTTAATGCTCGAAACATCAGCAATGAACGGGGCCGAGGGGTTGTCCTCCTTTCTCTTTTTGAAAGACACCCCGACTTCCTCGGCTGCTTTCACCTTGGCACGAAGGGCCCGAATCTCATTGTCTCGGCATCCCAGCCGCTCATTCACCTCAGCCAGCTCTTGCATGACCTTCTCACCCTTGGTCGCCTTGGCCTCGAGGTCCGAAAACATCTTTCGGACTGCATTGAGCAGCGCCTTGGCCTCCTCCATATCACCGGCAAGGCCCTTCATATCCCGCTTGGCATCCATGAAATCTTTGTGGAAATATACAACGACAGAGAAAAAAAATAGTCAGAACGGGTAAACAAGGGAAGGAAAGCCGAGCCAAATGCTCTGTGGGCCGTACCTTGGCTTGTTCGAGGCAGTTGATCCAGCCGAATGTAGGGGCTATTCCTTCTGGTGGCGACTCCGGCGAGCTACGACAGCGATCTAGCCGGCAGCCAACGGCGGCTTTCCCCCTTCCGGCGGAAAGTAATCTGGCAGTTCAATGCACTGTGCACAACTGACTAGCTGAGTCTTATTTCAGGTTGGGGACTTCGAGTATATATATACGTAGTACTCCGTATATAGTTGTCGGACCCCTTCCTTTTTCTTTCGTATTCTAACTCTGCATTTTGCCAAGCCCCAAATCATGAACGCTGCTTCATATCCCTCTTCCCTGCCCATTGGTCTTTTTATGTCCTTTGTATTCCCAAAGTCATATTCCATAATTCCATTTCCACTTTGTCAGGCTAGAGAAGCATAAATAAAAAACCATCAGTATTCTGTATTTACCGGACGTTTCCATTTACCCTTAATTAACTCTTCTCCATCTTTCGTTCGAAAAAAAACAAAACTCTTCTCCATCTTTTATTCTGTATTTTTTCAACAATCTATAACTCTTCTGTATTGTTTCTTCATCTTTATTTTACAGTAACTTAACCAGGTCCGCGGGTTCCGGGTCAACCCGACTGGTCCGGTTCAGGTTAAGCATTGTATTTTCTTCCTTTAATAGGAAACAACCACATTAATTTGTAATATGAACATAAAATAATTCATAATTTAATAGGAATATCATATTTTAATTTCTAATAAAAACATAAAAATAATAAAAAATATTTTAATTTATTATTCTCTCTGTATTTAAAATTTTGCTACATTTTCCCATTTGGAATACATTTTAAAATTTTGCTACATTTTCGCTTTTTCGTAAGTTTTTCTTTTAAAAATACTCAATTACCTATATTTTTTTTTAGTTTTTATCATATTTTTCCTATTTTTTCACCTTCTCTCTAACTTTTTCTACACTATTCACTACTCCTACTATTTTTCCTTAAATATTGTGTCAAGACCTAATGTTGTGATCTTTTAAATACCGAGGGAGTATAAAAGTGTAAAAAAATAAAACAGTCAAATATATTTTAGGGATTCATAAGAATAATCTATACTTTTAGGGATTCTATAATAATAATTCTTACTGAGAGTGTCTATAAAAATAATCCGAACAAGCAATAGTGTCCACGAGAATAAATTGGGGTGAACTCAAATTAGTGCCCGTTTAATACTATCGATCCCTGCTCTCACTTTTATCTTCACCACTCTTCTTTTCGAAGTGAATTAAAACTAAAACCCGTTTAATCTTAATGTCATTTCCGCCATATGTGGTTCTTTCTAGGATAGAAAATAGAAGTGTTACCCGAAAAGAAGAGTGATGAAGGGGAAAGTAGAGGTAAGATTTGGGAGAATTAAATGGGAAATAATTTCAATTTACCTCATTTTATTCTTGTGGACACTATTGCTGGTTCAGATTATTTTTATGAATACTCTCAGTAGGGATTATTGTTGTAGAATCCCTAAAAGTAGAGATTATTTTTGTGAATTTCGCCTTAAAATAATATAGTAATAAAAAAGTTTAAAAATTGCATTTTATTACTCCCTCCGTCCCTTAAAACTTTGTCTCTTAAAAATAATATAGTTTAAACTTTGCATTTTATTACTCCCTACGTCTCCAAAAAACTTTGCCACTTTCCCTTTTAATCAATTATTTTGTGGTTTCTGTTATTTCTCTCTCCTCTGCACAAACCTCAACCACACGTTGTTTACTTTATTATTCTCCGTGCCGGTCAACTTTGGCAAAGTTTTAAAGGACGGGGGTAGTAAAAAATTTAAAATTATAGTAAAATTTAGATAAAGCGCGTAAGAAACATATAAATTTTGGAGGTCTTATTCTCAGCCTCTGCCACTTTCAGCAATGCCACCTCCAATCGGTGAAAAAAAATGTCATTTTGCTTAAAACCCGTCTTTTTTCTTTGAAAATAGCATTAAGATGACATTTTTACTGTTTAAAACTCCAATTTTTCTCTAACACTGCCATTAAGATGACATTAGTGACACATGTTGACATTTTTCAGTGGCCGAAGTGGTAGGTGTTGGGAGGTTGTTGAGGCGGCAGCAGGTAGATCTGTTCGCGGTCCTAATCCAAACCGAAACTGAACCGGCGGTTCTGAATTTCAGGGAACTGGAACCGCAAAATACAAGTTCCGAAACCGGTGGTTCCGGTTCGGTTCAGTTTTCCGATTCCAATTTTATTTATTTATTAATTTTTATTTAAAATTTAATTTAATTGTTTATAATAGAGTATGCAATAAGTAATAAGATAATTTGAAAGAAACACTTCCCAAAAGATATTAATATAATTAATAATTATTATTTCTATAACTAACTAAACTAGGTTTTCCGTTTAGTAACTGGATAGTTAAAAACAACATAGTTTCTTGAATAAAATAACTAAGTCATTAGAAATGCTAGTACAAATTTAGAATAAAGTAATTTTAAAGTATTCTACTAATTTAAAAATTGTGTATTCGTATAACTATAAGTTGTAATATTACAGTATTATAAATAGTACTGACAAAAAATTATATTTTTAAAGTATTATAATCTTTATGTATTATTCTTAGTATTATAACTATTTTTAAAGTTATTAAAGTATTATATCCATCATTATTATCTTTATGATTATTATTAGTATTATTTATTATTATTATTTTTTCTAATAAAATTCCAGTTCCAAATTTTTGAAGAATCGAACCGGACTAGTAAATATCCGGTTCCAAACCGGATGCACTATGCGATTTCGGTTCCAGTTCCGATTCCGGTTAAAAACCGACGATTCTAGTTCTGGTTGAAACATAAACCGCGAACGGGTCCAGCAACAAAGGCTTGCATTTGTACGTTTACGTTTTGTTATTTTTAATTTAAGTTTTTTAGTTTTATAATTTCTTCTTTTATTAACTTTTTAATATTCAATTTCGTGTTTTTTTTTGTTTTTTTTACATTTTTATTATAAATAAAGTTATTTTATTACATTTATGTTTTTATTATTAATGAAATATGAATAGTATTAAAACAAAGCAGGGGTGAGATTGGAAATGTAGTAAGTAATATTTAGGAAATTTTAAAGTTATAGTCATATTCATGCAAATAAAGGTTGATTTAGTCCTATTTGTGGAACCAAACTTATATGTAATCACTGTTCTAACAATCGCTCTAGACGTTCGACTAGTCTCTGCTTAGGCGCTAGGCGGTGGCCCGGTGACCCAATTTTGTCTAGGCACTCCGATTAATTGATTTGGCGTCCAGGTGATTAGTCGACCGTCTAGGGCGGCCAAGTGATTAGTCGACCGTCTAGGGCGGCTAGGTGCCCGCCCAAAGCTCTTAATCGGCCACCTAGACATTTAGATTCGTTGAATATTGTATTTTGGTTTTTTTATTTTAGTATCCTAAGATATACATGTACCTTTAACTTTAAAAACGCATATGAAGAAAACTACTAGTGGGTGAGTAGGTATAATGTAATTAAATATGACTGTTGGAGGAAATTCGGCCGGATATACCTGCAAAAATAATGTTAGAAAATAATGTAGCTCGAGACGCGTCAGACGCTGTCCTCAAGAAAGTATTTCCGACTAGCGAAAATCTTTCCCCAAGATAAAACGAGCTCTTCGGCGTAAGCCGGTAACAGAACAACGAGAGTGAAAATATATTAATCCAGCAGAGTGCAAATATTAGGGGATGTTTTAGCTCAAAAATAATGTATGTTCTTCCAAGCATATTGGCCTGGCCGAACATACGTATATATATATATATATGTGCAAAAGGAACGTTGATGGCTAGAGTGGAACGTTAGACTAACGTTTATATTACTCCATACATAAATAACTAAACGTTAGCACATATTTAATTTGACACCAACACACTCATTGATTTCATCATTAAATAATGAATGAATGTTGATAATGCTAACGTTTCACATGACCAGCACATCATGGAGGCTCAATTAAGGGTTAAAGCAATTATTTTTATTAATAAACACTAGGTCTCACAAACCATTTAGAGAGTTAAACGGTTTAAAAGTTGGCACCCAAGATAATCATAATAACAGATACCGTATAATTTAATTATAGTATTTTATTCATTTGAAATACATTTATTTTTCCAACAATCCCCCACAATTTCAAATGAATAGTTTTTAGGTTGTGAAAATAGTTTCGAAAATATTTGCTGGATTAAAGGAATGAGACTTTAAGTTTGGTGTCCGTAGACTTGAAACCAAACCGAGACGATTAAGTCTTAATAAACCGAGCTTATGGTGAAACCTATAGTTTCTTAAAACCAACAAGCTACTATTGGTAAATCAGTGTCTTAACGGTCGTGTCTCACCCCGCACAATTTCTCGTTATTACGCCGTTGTGCGCCGTAAGGCCATGCGCGTGCTTGGTTTTCATGAGTGCTCTAGAAGTTTTGTCATGCTTCATGGAGGCGGCCCCACCTCACACTCATATAGGTGATATCATCAAGTGTGTACCGCTTTTGCACACCACCCTAAAAGTAAGGGCTATGATAATCATTAAGAGCTTTTAGCTCATCCTCTCAAAGTATGCGGTTTCTAGCCAATATCTCACATCATGGAAATGGGCAATTTTAGTTAGGCTAGCAAAACTAAATGGAAGACTTGTTATTACCCATTTGAACTTGCTTCATGGGATCTCCAATCACACAAGTTGGGTTCCCATCCCCATTCGTTTCAAAGTGACACTAGTCCCATTTCCTTAGATGTTTCGGTTATTAATTTTCATCCTAGGGCTTTTGTCAAAGGATCCGCTAAATTTCCTTGTGACCTCACAAAATTAATGGACACAATTCCATTCTTCAATAATCGTTTAATGACTTTATGCCTTAAACGAATGTGTCTATTCTTCCCATTATAACACATTTTCTTAGCAGTATCTATTGCACTTCTGCAATCACAATGAATAGACACAGGTGGTATTGGTTTTGTACCAACCGGAATTTCTGCTAAGAAAGATTTCAACCACTCCGCTTCACTACAGGCTACTTCCAAAGCAATAAGCTCGGACTCCATAGTGGATCTAGAAATTATAGTTTGTTTGGTTGATTTCCACGTAATGGCACCACCTCCAAGGGTGAACATATATCCAGTATTGGATTTTATCTCATCTGAGTCAGAGACCCAGTTAGCATCGCTGTATCCCTCTAGTACAGCGGGTAACCCACGATAAAATATACCATAATTAATGGTACCTCTCAAATATTTGAGTAACCGCCTCAACGCGGTCCAGTGATCCCCACTTGGATTGTGAGTATATCGACTCAATCTTCCGACAGCATAAGCTAAGTCGGGCCTCGTATAATTCATCAAGTGTAATAAACTTCCAATAATTTGGGAATACTCATATTGAGCCTCGGGATCACCTCTATGTTTTTTCAAATGTGTATGAGAGTCATAAGGGGTGCTCACGGGGCTGACATCGAAATGTCCAAACCTCTTTAGAAGTTTTTCAGCATAATGCTCTTGAGATAGTATAATACCATCATCCTTCCTTATGACTTTCATACCCAAAATCACTTTTGCTTCCCCCAAATCTTTCATAACAAATTTTGAAGCAAGAAAGGATTTTGTCTCAATTATTAACTCAAGGTTACTACTAAAAATTAACATATCATCCACATATAAGCAAATAATAATGCACACACCATTTTCACATTTAGTGTATACACACTTATCTACTTCAAGTGAGGTAAAACCATGAGCTAATAACACTTCATCAAATTTTTCATTCCATTGTTTTGGAGCTTGTTTCAAACCATATAAAGATTTGATCAACTTACACACTTTGTGTTCCTCACCAATAACTACATGATCCTCCGGTTGCACCATATAAATTTCTTCCTCTAGCTCACCATTTAAAAACGCAGTTTTCACATCCATTTGATGAATAAAAAGTTTGTGAATAGAAGCCAAGGCAATTAAAGTTCGTATAGAAGAAATACGCATTACCGGTGCAAATGTGTCAAAATAATCAACATCTTGTTTTTGAGAAAAACCTTTCGCCACAAGCCTCGCTTTGTATTTATCAATTGAACCATCCGGATTTAATTTCCTTTTAAAAATCCATTTGCATCCGATTGGTTTGCAACCTTTCGGTAAATCGGTTAAAATCCAAGTTTTATTTTGTTTGATAGAATCAATTTCGTTTTGTATGGCCTCAATCCAAAAAGGAGCTTCTTTGGAAGAAATAGCTTGTGAATAAGTTAAAGGTTCATCATTAACAAGATATGTATAAAAATCATTTCCAAAAGATTTTTCTATCCTTGGTCTCTTACTTCTTCTCAAAAGAGAAGGTTCATCACTAAAAGAATCATTTTCTTTTAATGGCTCACTATCACTAGAGGGTTCATCATTAAAGGTTTCATTTCCTTGTAATGGATCATACTCACTATATGGTGCAACGGTCTTGTGTTCACATTTCAAAGGAAACACATTTTCAAAAAATTCAGCATTTTTTGTTTCAACAATTGTATCACATTCAAGCACATCACTTTGCAAAACAAGGAATCTATAAGCAGCACTAGATTCAGCATAACCAATAAACATGCAATCAGAAGTCTTAGAGCCAATTTTCCTCTTCTTAGGATCAGGCAATAAGACTTTAGCCAAACACCCCCACACTTTCAAATATTTCAAATTAGGTGCAAAGCCTTTCCACAATTCATAAGGGGTTTTCTTATAGTGCTTACGAGGAATCCTATTTTGTAAGTGACAAGCAGAAAGAATAGCCTCCCCCCAAAGATTATCAGGTGCACCGGAACTAATTAAAAGAGCATTCATCATCTCTTTTAGTGTCCTATTTTTTCTTTCAGCTATTCCATTAGATTCGGGTGAATATGGCGGAGTGACCTCATGAATTATCACTTCTTTCTCACAAAAATCATTAAATAAAATATACTCACCCCCTCTATCCGATCTAACTCTCTTAATCTTTTTATTTAATTGATTTTCTACCTCGGATTTATACACTAAAAATTTATCAAAAGCCTCATCTTTATTTTTAAGCAAATAAACTTTAGTGTATCTAGAAAAATCATCTATAAAGGTGACATAATATTTTTTGCCACCTCTAGTGATGGTATTTTTTAAATCACCTAAATCCGTGTGAATTAAACTAAGCAATTCAGATTCCCTATAAGTGGAGGGACAAGATTTTTTGGTTAGTTTAGATTGAACACAAACATCGCATTTTTCTAGTGTCATTTTATTTTTACTAGAAATCAAACCACAATCATTTAGCATTTTAATATAAGAATTACTTGCATGTCCTAATCTAGCATGCCACACATTATAAGAATCAACTAAATAGACAGAAGCATTATCATGCAATATTTCAGAAATGCCAAGTATATATAGTCCTTTCTTACAATAGCCATTTCCCACAAGAACATCATTTTTGGTCATAACAAAATTATCACAACCAAAAGAAACTTTAACCCCAACTTTTCCCAAGAGATAAACAGAAACTAAATTAGTCGAATCTCGGGCACATGAAGCACATCATTTAGTGATAAAGTTTTCCCCGATGTGAGTTTAAGAAGAACTTTCCCTTTTCCATGCACCTTAACGGTTTTAGTGTCCGCTAGGTACACGAGCTCTTCGCCATCTCCCATAGTAGTATAGGAGGTAAAAGCATTTTTGTTTTTACAAATATGCTTGGTAGCTCCGGAGTCTACCACCCACTCATTCACATCATTCATTTTACAACTTTGAGAAACAACCGCAATAAAATTATCATCACTACTAACCAAGTTTAAACTTGATTTTAGTGGGTTGTTGTTTTTCATAGTTGTCATTTTACCACTAAATAAAGGAATAATATTTTTCTCAGAAATTGGTGTTAAAGTATGGCTTATTGTAAGTAGGAAGGTAAAGAGAGTAAGCGTTATACGTAGAGATATATCCAAATACCAGTCTAAATCACACCACACATGCAAAAATAACATGGCCGTGATGAGTGCAGCGACAACGCCTTGTGAGATCACACGTGCAGACATATCCGACGCCAAATACTTTCTTGAGATTGTTGGAGGAAATTCGGCCGGATATACCTGCAAAAATAACGTTAGAAAATAATGTAGCTCGAGACGCGTCAGACGCTGTCCTCAAGAAAGTATTTCCGACTAGCGAAAATCTTTCCCCAAGATAAAACGAGCTCTTCGGCGTAAGCCGGTAACAGAACAACGAGAGTGAAAATATATTAATCCAGCAGAGTGCAAATATTAGGGGATGTTTTAGCTCAAAAATAATGTATGTTCTTCCAAGCATATTGGCCTGGCCGAACATACGTATATATATATGTGCAAAAGGAACGTTGATGGCCAGAGTGGAACGTTAGACTAACGTTTATATTACTCCATACATAAATAACTAAACGTTAGCACATATTTAATTTGACACCAACACACTCATTGATTTCATCATTAAATAATGAATGAATGTTGATAATGCTAACGTTTCACATGACCAGCACATCATGGAGGCTCAATTAAGGGTTAAAGCAATTATTTTTATTAATAAACACTAGTGTCTCACAAACCATTTAGAGAGTTAAACGGTTTAAAAGTTGGCACCCAAGATAATCATAATAACAGATACCGTATAATTTAATTATAGTATTTTATTCATTTGAAATACATTTATTTTTCCAACAATGACAACTCTATTATTCATACTTGTTGATGTGTATGTGTGTGTCTATATATTCTACACACACAAACAAAACATTATTAATCTTATTTATGCAAAAATATTGATAAAATTGTCATTTCTATGTCTCTGACTGGTTCCCGCCTGAGCGTCCGCGTAGGTGCCTACACGTTAGGTGCTGGGCTGGCGCCGAGCCATCGACTAGTGACTAGCCCCTTTTATATATAACATTGTATGTAATATACGCATCTTATATGTATGTGGCTCTATGTTTATATGTATGGTCCATATGGACATACTTTGGAGATTTACGTATATAACTTTCACATCTTTCCCTAATTCGAAATTCTTTATTGCAAGTAACAATGGTACTACTTTTTCATTCGATTGGTTTAGATACATAGTATTCTCGAGTGTCACTTATCAAATACTTAAATATAATATTTGTAATTGTCTTATGTACTAATTTCTTTGATGTGTTAGACTCATTTAGATGACAAAATTGCTTAATTTTACTTATCGTTTTCTTTTATAAAAAATAAACATTCGCACCTTATCCTAAGGCCCACTTAATTTGTAGTGTCCCGTGTCCATAAAATGTCATGACTGAACCTACGTAGGAGGCATGTTTCGTGATTCCAATGGTCGCTACTTAGCACCATGCTCAATGAACTTGGGGTTTTGCTCGATAACCAAGGCTCAATTGAGTCGTTGTACAAAGATTACAATTTGTTTGAGAGTCCGGATACAGGCAGGTACGAGTGCAACTGGATTCGCAAGCAACAATTCATCTTTTGAATTTTGATAGCAGAAAGTGATCACGCACACCAGCACTCGTAGGTCACACAATTTCACGAGTTGTTAGTTCAATATTATACGATCAACATTGAGCGTATTCACAAGGAGTGCAAGTGTGCCGCAGTTTTAAGCAAGCCTAGGCATAGATTACCTATTGCCTAATTGTTGCTCATTCTATTATTAATGTTGATTTTATGTTATCATCATTACATATTTGTATGACTTATTTGGAGTTTCCAGCCTCATTTTGATATTAATGGAAGCTGAAAGCTAACGCTCCTATGATTTTAACAAAAGAAAAGGCCTACTGTTATATATGAAGCAGAAAAATAAAATCAACGGGGTGAACTGTTGCCCAGATAATCAACGATAAATAAATACCGTTGCCCAAAGCCAAAAGGCTAAACCAACTTTTATTCCCAGATGATCAAGAATGAAGCATACAAGGGGTATAAATAACCTTCTAGGTCTAATAAGAATAGGAATCCCAATTAAATTATTCTAGGAAACTAAATGGAATAGGAAACCTCTAGTTCTAATAGAACTCCTAATTAAATCGTTCTAGGAAACTAAATAGAAATAGGAAACCTCTAATTCTAATAAGAATAGAAGTCCTAAATAAATCCTACTAGGAAACAAATTAAATTAGGAAACAAAATAAAAGGATTAATAAATATTAATTAAACAGCCCGCAACCAGCCCACAGAAGTGGGCTCTAACTCATCCCGCCTTCGGTAAACCCACGGGGGCTTCTTCCCCTCTTCTTCCAAGCCCATATTCTGCTTCATATCAATTCCATCCCTCTTCGAAAAAACCTTGTCCTCAAGGTTGAAATCCGGAAACCGGCTCATATTTGTCCCCGGGGGCTGCCCCGTATCTTGAGGAAAGCTGCCACTTGATCTTTTCAGCTTGTTCATGAAATACCCCAAGTAATAATCATCGGACAGTCCGGGAACCTGACTGGCCAATTGAAGAAAAAGGTTATTATATTCCTCTACGGTTCACAACTGTTTGACCCCGAACATCCGTTTGAATCGGCTTTCTTTGAACCGTGAATCAAATCGGGCCACCTGTGCTTGTGTAAATTTCTCCCAGGTCATGCTCGGTTTTTGTGCCTTCAACCAGGTCAACCCGTCCAAGGCAGCTCCTTCCATGGCTACCGTAGCTGCTGTCACTTTCCTCTCAGGTAGGGTTTGATTAATTTCGAACTTTTGCTCAGCCCTAGCTATCCACCTAATCGGTTCTTTTCTGTCGAACATGGGCAACAACGTTGGAGGAGTGCTGCGCGGAGGTCCGTCGTTGTGTGTTGCCACTACGATGGCGGCACTGATGATTGTGTCTGATGGTGTCTCCGTCGTGATCGATGGCACAAGGGCCTTGGTCAGCGCCTCAAGGGATGCGGCGATCTCAGCCAGCCGCCTGCCGTTTGCATCCAGGGTTTGCTTCATCTCTGACAAATGTTCACTGATAGATCTCATCATTCTGGCGGGACGGGATCCGGCAGGTCGGACCAATTGTTGTGAAGCAGAAAAATAAAATCAACGGGGTGAACCGTTGCCCAGATAATCAACGATAAATAAATACCATTTCCCAAAGCCAAAAGGCTAAACCAACTTTTATTCCCAGATGATCAAGAATGAAGCATACAAGGGGTATAAATAACCTTCTAGGTCTAATAAGAATAGGAATCCTAATTAAATTATTCTATGAAACTAAATGGAATAGGAAACCTCTAGTTCTAATAGAACTCCTACAACACTTTGTGAAATCATAGTAATTCATTCAAGTTTTGAATTAAGTTACCACAACACTACGTTGTAGTAATGAATAGTCATATTTATGTAAATAAGTATGACTACAACACTACGTTGTAATTCATAACTTGGTCTTGGCTCGGTTGGCCACTCCTGCACCTCCGCCCCTGAATGAAATCAAGAACAGTTCCAGTCTATCAAGTATCAGTTTGATAGCAGAGGATGTTCGAGAGTTAAGCTCAGAGTTTGTCAACATTTCATTTTCCCACAGTAGGCGTTCAACAAATTTAGTCGTTCATATCTTAGCTATAGTGGCGAAGTTCTATGTCTGTTAGTCATGTTTGAACGCTTTGTCTTTTGATCTCATTAATGCTCATTAAGTTCATTTTATTCAAAAAACAAAAATGAAGATACAAAATTATAAATTTTTTTATACGAAGTATTTCATTGTAAATAACATTTAGGTAAATAACATTTAAAGTCTTTTCGACTGATTTTCCGTCACCACGACATAAAAATCCTCTGTGGTAGCACTGAAATTGGCTAAACCAGATAATTTTGCTGAAATTTATGAAGTTCTATCTGAAGTGGTTGGATTAACTATTTTGCTGATTTATGAAAATATTATATTTAAAATATATGTAGTATCTTATTAATAAAGTAAAGAAAAAAATACATGAAAAATTAGCTAAAATAGTCCTCTACAGACTACAGTAACTTCAGCCAATTAAGTTAAGAAAGTAACTTTAACCTTACTTTTTCTTATTATTACATAGTTCAACCCGCTAAATCAAATTTACGTGTTTAGTTAAAATGTTAATTCCGAAAATTTACGTGTTTGGTCAAATTTACATGCCTGATAAACCGAAAAACAGAGTCACCAAACGAACTCATAAAAAACTTCAACTCAGATGGAGACGTTACTCATGAGACTGAGATGGAGTAAAATTCAAGTAACATAAGAAAACATCAACCCATCGAAAGACAGTCTCGGACTCCTTTAAAGGTCATGGCCTAACTAATTAAGCATAAAAGGGAATTGTCTACACTTAAATGTGAACCAAAGTTTAAGGTTAGATGGAATCAAGCTAAATTTTTGAATAAGAAATTTTTGGCCTGCATTTCTTCCCAACATCACTTGAGGTATTGAGAATATGTCTACCCACGTTAAAGCTTCAGCTTCAACTCTGGAGAATGAATATGATTTATTGAGGGAGTTCAGTGTCGGAGTAAGAGGAAGACAATATGATGACTTTCACCTGGTTCACCACAACATCATCTCATGATCCTGAACATAATATTGAAATCCGCCAAGAATTAGATAATCAACACTCTATTTTCTCTTTAAAACAATCAAAGTTCAAAAGTAAAAGAATTGCAAATTTATCTAAAGTTCTGGTCATTTCAAACATATCAAATCCAGAACTTAAGAAAATAAAATAAAAATACTATTATGTTAAGTTTCTTACTTGGCAGCAAGGAACAAAATTAGCACCTTTCTTACTGTTATGATCTAAATGTTCCTAAGGATGAGTTAACCTTAGCAATAAGATGGTTATGAACAGTTCATCCACTCACTACCATTATTCTTGAGTAGAATGAATAGATATTATATGCATGTCTATCAAATTCTTAACACATCGACGATTCTACAAAATGCATTTATCCTTCTTTTGTATATACATATATACTGATTCTTCAAGAGTAAGTTCTTTCTTGGTATATCCTTCTTCCACCGAATCCCAAAGATCATGGGATATAAAATATTCTATGGACCAAGTGAAGGAGTATGACTAAAATATTCACCAAGGCAGCAATACTGAAACTGCTGCTCTTGCTGTGGTTTTTTAGTGGAGCAACTGTGTATGTGTGTTAAGAATTAGGAATGCCTACCAGGTTTTAAAAAAAGGAATGCCAATATCAAAGTAGTATAAATAAAATTAAATTTGAAATTTTGCAGATGCATTCTTAAAACTCTACTCGTATAAGAAACTTGAAAATATGGATGCATACCTCCAATTTAATTTGAATCCATGTGCACCTCTATGTTTGTATCCGACGGATACTATCCGTGTTCTCCTTGTTCATATGATCATCACCAAAAGAACCCTAGATCCAAGCAATCACTAACTGTCTCCAAATGAGATTTTATATTACTATATTACTTTTATGTATATATAAAAGCAATCACTATTAACCATTTTTAGCATTAAAATGTAAGACTGGGAGAGTAATTAAATGACATAAAGAGAATAATACATATAAATTTACTGATGTATATTTTTTTTTAGTAATTTAAGGTTTTATTGTTTGTTATATTCTGATATATAAAATTATAGCACATTAAAATAACAACCCATATTGATAAACAGCACATTTATTTTAGTTATTAAAAATCTATATCAGTACCATACCAGCATCCCGTGCTCAATTTGTTTTCACACCTTCCACTATTTCAACTCTTTTGTTGCAGGGCAAGGATTTCATTCTCCAATTAATCAATTATGAACTAATGTTATAATAATATAAGGAAAGCAGAGAGTCCTTTTAAATCATAATGAACCATATCAGTAGTGACACAAATTTCATTATCACCGATTCATCAATATAGTTAGATATCATATTTCTTAATATTCACAAATGTTTTTTCTTTTTTAAACCTTAAACTTTTATTAAGGATATTTATAGTTATTCATTTTAATAAGAATCCCTCCTATGAGTGTAAAAAGGTTATGCCACACAATATTAAGTAAGTCGAGCTATAGATGTACTTATGTATAACAAAGTAGGGGAGAAGTAAGTAAAGCGAAACCCAAATGACTTTGCATGTAGATCTGTCTGCTAAAATTGAGCATACTTTTAAGCCTTATAAATTTTTTTATGAAAAAAGAGAAAACACTTATGTACAAATATGCTTAAAGGAATGGATGAGTGCAAAAAATGCTTTAAGGACTCAATGATTGTAAGCAAACAAAATCAATGTTCAGCCAACCATTTTTAACCGCTTCAATTTTCAAACCTCACAATATTAAAAAGTAGAAACAATAAATTGTGAGTCCAAAACATGGAGTCTTATTAATCTTCATCTATGCGACAATCTATATGCATAAGTAAATATCTTATATCTATGAGCACAAGCATAGTAGATTCACGAAACTGAAACTTGTTGATGCCCATCAATCCTATTGTGCTGCTTCAAGATCATGAAATTTTTAAAATTGAAATGCTAAATTATAGCATTGAATTAGATTATTAACATATCTCTGAAATGATATTAAAAGATACGTGTTAATTGAAGAAGTAGTGAAACCAAAGAGCCTGATAAACTAAAGTGTATGTTCTTCGTCATTAACATCTAGTAGAGATCCCCACTCGGTGGTGTCAATTTCAGAATCAGCCTTTTGACTTCACATGTTTATTCGTCACAATGTAAAAGAAGGAATCGGTTATTATATTTAAAGAAGGTGAATAACTAAATAAAGAATGAATATTGAATATGAATATAAAAAGACCTTAGTTTTGCTTGGTTTAATTTGTAGCAGAAGATCATCATTTATTTGAGATAATCTGAAATTGAAGAAAAACAGCTCCATAAGCAATTATAAAAATTTAAATTTGAATGAAGGAGCAAAGAGGAATTCATTGACCTTGAAGAGGACAATTGCAGGAAAATCGTTGTAACCTAAAAGGAGAGCAACCATGTTCTTCTCCATTGCCATAACTTCATTGTGTAGTCTCTTTAAACACAAATCTGGAAAGCTAAAATTCAGCCAGCCTCAAGACTGTGCAGACTTCCGAGCTTTTAGAGATTCCGTTGAGCGAATTGGAAGAAAATTGCGATGAAGAAGAAGAAATGCTTCTGAGCTTTTCAACTCGGAAGGATTCCGATGAGAAAAGAAGTGTTCTTTGCCATTTTCATCCATCTCGGAATGGAGTAAACTCGGATGGTCTGGGGTGTGAGAAAGGGAGTGAAGGATTGCAATGAGGGAGGAAGAGGCGAAAGAGAATGAACGATATTTTAATCAGAGTGGTAGATCTAGTTTTGGATCGTGCGGTTGATATGCTTTTGAGCTTTGAGCGGGAAAATGAATTTACACAAAGTAGTGCAATTATGTAGGATGATTACACGAATCTTTGGCCCCAATCTAAAATTTCCAAAGTCCAACCTCCGTAATATGACGTTTCTAGCTCTACCACTGCTGAAAGCACAACAATAATCTCAATCTTCAATCCCATAACAAAAGTAAAGTCCCCCCACGGGCTTCATCAGTGCCATAGTTCATAAAACACCTAGCCACAATGCTCTCCTTCATAACAAAGAGTGAAGAGATTCTGAAGAAAGCATACTCAGGAGTAGGGATCGGATGGCAATGGGGCGGGTTTGGGGCGGGGTACACTCCCCCATCCCCTCCCCATGTCTACAAAGTTCCCCCGCCCCATCCCCTGTTACTCTCAGACCCGCCCCATCCCCGTCCCACCCTGTTGTCTCCACGGGTGCCCGCGGGTGCCCCTATATAGATTTAATTTATCGTATTTGAATATACTTTTAATCCATTATAAAAATATATGGTGCAGTTCCAGTGAGAACGTGAGAATATTCATATTTAATCCAATGTGATACACAATAGAGCCCTTCTAATGCACATATTGACTTTGCTCAATACAAGCTAATATAAATAATCACGGTGACACTTTTGTAAATATTATGTTTGATATGAAAATTGCATTGTGCGAGCCTCATTGTGCGTCACATTGGGGGTAAATATGGTGTTCCCACGTTCTCATGTTAAGCATTGTTCTAATTTGATCCTTAATCTATATATATCTACACACACACACACACACACACGTACGCATACATATATGCAACACTGAACTATTGTGTTTGTTAAAAGTTAATACCGCCGATTTTAATAATTCTTCAATTTGAATGAGTTTTGTGAATTGAAGACAGTTAAAGTAAAAATATAAGTAAACATATTATCATCATGTACGTCGTTCCAAAATTTTCAACAATTATAATACAATTAGTTACATGTTACATATAACTATAGGTGTGTTTGTTTACTCACTTTCTCACTCTTATAACATTTATGATAAATATTTTTAATCATTACTAGCTTATTATTATTGTAGTTCTAGTATAATATGTATTAATACACTAATCATGACTAAAAGGTATACAATTATGTATGTCTATACGTATATGTATATGTATATGCATTTGTTATATACAACATATAATTTAATTTAATACCATAGTATGTTTGTACATTATTTATATATGTGTATATATATACGTTTGAGTATATATTTATAACGGGGGTGGGGCGGGACGGGGCAGGTGTAGCAATTCCCGTCCCCCGCTCCATATTTTAACGGGGTAAAAATATTTCATCCATCCCCCGCCCCTGCCTCACTCCAAGCCCCGCCCCATCCTTCCCCCACGGGGCGGTTCCCCACGGGTCCCCGCCCCCATTGCCATCCTTACTCAGGAGTCAGGAGCATCACCAATATGATGAAAGTGAAAGAACATATATACTCTAGGGAGAACATCCTATTGTATTTTTATTGGAAATTAAACCATACAGAAATACTTTATTCAAAGCTTCAAAGTTTAATAACGTGTTTTGCCCAATATGTAATACAACATTTATATAGTGGGTGCACATATATACTGGCATACTGCAAAAGTGAGCCAGAACTTGTTGAACATTTCTTTTTAAAGGAAAGTCATATGAAAACACCCTTCTCGGCCAAATAAGTCAATGAGCTATTTACGACACTTGCTCTACTTGCACACGGCTACCAAAAGGGCAATAACATTAGGAGTTCATTGCTTCTTTGAGTAGTCCCTTGCTCCAAATTGCGGGTGTAGCAATTCCCATCACCCGCCCCATATTTAGCGGGGTAAAAATATCTCACTCATCCCCACCCCCGCCCCACTCCAAGCCCCGCCCCATCCTTCCCCCACGGGGCAGTTCCCCACGGGTCCCCACCCCCATTGCCATCCTTACTCAGGAGCATCGCCAATATCATGAAAGTGAAAGAACATATATACTCTAGGGAGAACATCCTATTGTATTTTTATTGGAAATTAAACCATACAGAAATACTTTATGCAAAGCTTCAAAGTTTAATAACGTGTTTTGCCCAATATGCAATACAACATTTATATAGTGGGTGCACATATATACTGCAAAAGTGAACCAGAACTTGTTGAACATTTCTTTTTAAAGGAAAGTCATATGAAAACACCCTTCTCAGCCAAATAAGTCAATGAGCTATTTACTACACTTGTTCTACTTGCACACGGCTACCAAAAGGGCAATAACATTAGGAGTTCATTGCTTCTTTGAGTAGTCCCTTGCTCCAAATATCGTTGATCCAATTCTGACATTTGTACTTCCCATTTCAATCTGCAGTAGCCAGAAAGACAGGTTGTCAAAACCGTCTACTTCAAAGTATGCACATAGCAAGGACTAACATGTTCAGGGCCCCGCTTGGAGCTGGGAAATACTAGGGAAAGAAAATGAGGACAATAGAAGGATATGGCATATAATAAAATTAATGGAGGGAATAAAACATGGTTTTCTGGAAAGAAAATGAGGACATTTTTGTCTTTTTCATATAGGGTTGGGGACTTGGGGTGCAAAAACAAAGATTTTAAAAAACGGGGTGCAAAGTCCAATTTAGACAATAATATGGGGTGCAAACTCAAATTACCCCATAAAACATTTATTCAAACTAAACAAATATATTTTAGATATTTGATCAAACTCATTTTATTAATATATTTCTATTACACAGAGGCTACTAAGTATATATACACATACAGACACATAATTTTCACGAACTTCAATCGAATTTGTTTTAACTAGGCATTTTCTTCCCATTCTCTACCATTTCCTGACCTCAAAACATAGTCTTAATGTGCAAGACAGAGTTTACTTACTGCAAGTTCAAAATCGCCTGACATGCCCATTGACAACTCGCATTGCTCTTCAGCTATTCCAATTGTCTTGCATACCTCGCTTCTACAATTTGCTAGCGTCTAGTAGAAGCAACAGTATATTGTATTAATAAGCCATTCATTTTTAGAGAAGACAATTAATTGATGACATTAGGTGAAAAGAAACCTTAAAATTCTCTGGTGTCGACGTATAATCAGGCATTCCAATTGTCATCAGGCCGCAGAATTCAAGGTAAGGGCAGCTTGAAGTAACGTGTTGGACAAGGCTCACACACCTAGCTGGTTCAACGCCATATTTACCTGCAAAAATATTACAGAGTAGAAACTTATCTTTCCTTTTCTCCTGTTAGAAGATTACTTATTTTATAAAGAAACAACTAATAAGTAAGAGACCTACTCGAACTTGTTTACTCACTTTCTTCTCCGCTTGTATTCACTTGAACAAAGACCTTCAAAGGTTTCCTTCCAATGTTTTCAACCACTCGATTAAGCTGATTCGCAATCTACACATTGCAAAGTAATAAAGTGGGCTGATTCAGTGAATGGGAAGTTGGATACTTCAGAGTTCAGATCGACCAGGCTATGTTAGCAGTTAATGGCTATGTATACACTTGATTTTCTAGGCCATACTCAAAAGTCATTCTTTCCTATTCAGATGAAATGCAAGTAAGATTGAATTTCACTCGTGAAACAAAAAAAATGACATGGATATTTTGAGACAACGATTTTGGTTACAAATGTCCAGCAATAAGCATGAAGTTGCATAGATCTTTTTCTTCTAGAGGATGAATAACTGAACCTAAAATTATATAGCTAACAATGTTCAACCTGAATGTGTGGAATTGCTAATTAGTTAGGGGCAGTTACTCTTTCTGCTCTGTATATAATACTCATGCTATATGCTAGTAACTATTTTATGATATTATTTTTTACTAATATAGTATTTTACTTCTCCATGACTTGACGTCTTGACCTTTTGAAGAATAAAACAAGTAAACAAAGTGGTTGTTCTATTGGTATTTGGTGATAAATTTCTGCATATTTGATTCATAAAAATGTAGTATATTTCATAAAAATGTAGTATAATCTCATTTTTCCTGTTCGTGTGGAAATAGGAATAACACAGATATGTTTTACCTTCTCATCATCAACTGTCTCCACCATTGCGAGATTGGGCACACCAGCTGAAAGTATATAAAAATATGCACATGCATAAGAAGCACCATAAAGAGTAATAACCAATATACTTCTGTGTTTGCTCCTTCCCAAAAGGAGATATTAAAAAGTCATGCCAACTATTCATTTCACCCTACAAGCTAGGCCAACAACAGTTTCACCTTGCAAAACAAGATAATGAGTGACGTAGCTCTCTCAAGTCCACAGCATTCACTGAACCTTTCATAGAGAATAAATCGACACCTAGCTTAATTGCTTTTTCAAGAAGACAAGAACCCCTATATTAGTCAGGCATAACTCACTTCATCTAGTCTCTCCAAAAAAGATAGGCACACAACATTTCTGTGTTCTGACTTCTGATAATCATATATGTGAGTGCCTGTCTATTTCCCTACGTCCCCACACCACTTAGCCATGGCTAAAAATCACAAACTAAACCCCCATCGCAGAATTATATCAGTATTGATGTATGGACAACTATATAGTGGAAGCTTTGAGCTTCCCCAAATCTTGCAATACTGAAATTCTGAAATTTATCTATTCATTGGAAAGGGAGTATGATAAATCTGCACTAATACAAGGTATCCTAATTTATAGGAAATAAAAAGCAGCTTTGAGCTACATATGATGAGACTGTTAGCATGTTACACTGTTTGAAAGAAAAAACTCGAGAAAGAAAAAAAAGTCTTGACTTGAATCAAAAGATATTATGCTACAAACCCTCTTCCAATTTATTAGCAAAAGAAATTAATTAGCTCGTTGATTGGGTATGCAAACATACTCAGAAGCATCTTAACTTTATTGCTCTGCAAATTCCCAATGAAATGCCACTCTATATCCTCCGGAAGCTGCAATTTACAACAGCCACATCATAAAATCAACACACGACTCCTATCACGCACATCATTACAGAAAATTCAGAGAACGAATCACAGATAAACGGCTGGAGAAAATTTCATAAAGTTCCAAGAAAAAAGACCTGGGGAGCTTTCTCTACGAACTCTTGGACATAGTTCTCGCCAAAACAGCGGTGTCCAATGTCGTAAACTTGACGAATAAGAGAGACTGGTTTCGTCTTGCTTACAGCTACGACCCGAATCCGATCCGATCCACGGCTGCAGCGTTCGGCGGCCAGCTGCACCCGCTGCAGAACCGATCGCAGCGCCGTCGATGCCATGCCGTCTATGGCGGAAGCGGCCATCTTGGATGCTGAGGACTGATGTGAACCGTCGCTCTCCTCTTTCTCTATCTTTCCTATGACTGGCGCTGGTGTTTCATGGGCGTTCATTTTTACCACGGGCTTCCACCATTCCACCCAGTTTTATAACCACCTTATTCCCATATTTGTGGAGGTTTTTTTGTTTGTGAACCCGGGTTCACAGAAAAAAAACACTTCACAAGCATAGGTGTGTACAAAAGTGGGTATAAGAGTGGGTATAAAGATCATTTTTGTTCCACCTATGTTAGGACTTTTTCTGGTGTCCAATCCTGATAAATATCTTTGTATTTGTGTAGCTATTTTGTCTAGATATTTCAGCTATTATTAGACTAGCTTTCTTAGGAAGTGTGTAAAGTGTATTATTGGGCCAATCATTAAAAGAGCCCAATCATGCTTAGGTCACATCACACATTCCCTAGGCATATATATATTGCCTTTAAGGGAATGTGCGAGAGAGACTTTTACAGATTATTCAGCGCATATTATTCTAGTGAGAGAGAGAGAGCCGCAACTTTGTTTTCTCGATACTCTGTTCTACAATTCTCGATCATTGTTTTGTATTGAATCAAAGTTGTTTTCTTCTCTACTCTATATCTTTGTTTGATTGTTGGATGAAATAGGGACAAACAATTGGTATCAGAGCCGAGCGTGAAATCGATTGAAGATCGTCTGCTGAAGAAACTGCGAAAAATGCTTTGTTTTATGTTTCTCGATGTCTTCTCATTTTTGCTCTTGTAAATCTGTTTCTGCTATTTCAAGTGTAAAAGTTATACTGCTAGAATCGCCATCTCAAAACGATTCAGCGGCATATCTTCATTTTTCACTTTTGTAAGATTCAGATTTTCGATTTCTCGATAATCTTATATCGAAAAGCAGGTTTCTCGAGGTCAGGAAGTTCATCTCGATTCGAAAACAGTACAGGGTGTTTCTTCTCGCAGCAAAAGACTTTGCAGAAGAAGTTTTGGAATTGCAAAAATCTGTTTTTTTTTTCGGTGCAGGATCTCGACATCAGGATTTCGACATCTGAGTTCTCGAATCGAGCTTCTCGATATTCATTTCTCGATATTTGAGTTCTCGATATACAGGTTTTTGATATAGGTTCTCGAAGCACAGGTTCACGACACACACAGGTTCTCGAAGCTTAAGTTCTCGATAAGCATTCTCGATCCGACATCGAAAAGGCATTCTCGAAGTTCAGGTTCTCGGTAAACAACATCGAAAACCGCTTCTCGAAGTCAGATATCGAAAAGGCATTCTCGACATTCAGGTTCTCGACAACATCGAAAACAGCTTCTCGAAGGCGGATATCGAAAACCCGCGTAAAGTTTTAAAAAAAAAAGGGAAAGGACAGAGGGGCAAAATTGTTCTTTGAGACCCGCTGAATTTTACGGCTATCGTGTCCGCAGGTCGCCCGCGCAGGGGGGTGCGAATTTTCAATTCTGAACTGAAAGCCGGAATTCTTGTGTGCGCGAGAGCTCCCCTATTCTCCTTCACCTTTTAATACTAAGGGAGGAGTGATTCATATATAAAGGCTCAAAAGTTCTCTAAGAGTTTAGGTGTGGGAAAGTTAAAAAAGTCTACTTTCCACCTTTGCTTGAAAGTGTACACTTTTCCATCTTCTTTTTCAAGAGCTAATTTGAGTCACTTCAAAGTCCAAAACTCCAACACCAAAGGTGAACCTTACAACCAAAGCTTCCAAGAGTCAACCTTGAGATTAAAAAATAAAAAAAAAATCTCAAGGTTAAGGCTATTTTTCTCAAGGACCAAGCTACACTTCAAGGTCCGGAAATTTGCAGAAACTTCAATCAACCTCACGTCCACGGTCAACATTCAACAATCAACAATGGATACCTCCAACTCATCATTGTGTAAGAATCAATGTGCTGAAATTTCTGATAAGCTGGAGGTAAGGCAATCTGACAGTCAACAAATTATCAAGCAATTGGAAGAGAGATTAGCAAACAATCACCGAGTCTTATTGCAGCAGCTGGATAAGACTACCTCACTCACCATACAATTGGACAATGAAAAGGAAATTGTTAAGAAGCGAACTTTGGAAATAGAACAGCTCACACAAAAGGTAGCTGAACTGACTAAAAAGGTAAGTGACACTGAATTAGAACGAAACGTTGCAAAAGCCGAAAATGATTTCCTACATGAAAAAAGATGTACTCTTTACACGAAAATCAAAGAATTAGAAGATCTGCTTGCCAAGAGAGGACAGACAGAACAAACCATTTTTCTCAATCAGAACAAAGACACTCGCTTTTATAACTCTAAGGAGGGTCTTGGTCTTACTAACCCCAATAATTTGAAGAAAGTGGATTGTATTCAACTTTATGACATAAATTATATGGGGTTATTGTTGACTAAGTTGATGGCTTTTACCTATGGAAAGGAAACAGCAGAAGAAGAAGAGGTAAAGCGATCAAATCCTTCTAAAGCCGAAATTCCTTTCAGTTATGACTCTTTGAACAAAAGCTATGAAACAGCTGAACCTGTTTTTTCATCTGATGAGAGTGTCAGTTTCTATCCTTCTGAGAAGGAAGTTGTGTCGGATCCTGAACCCCCTTCAACCTCAGGATCAAGTGAAGAAGAACCTTATATCCCTCCACTAATCAGAAAATTTGAAACCTTACACATTTCCTTAGAAAATCAAAGAAAAAGTTTTGAAGAGGAACGAAAGAGCTTTGAAAGTGAGAGGGAGAGGTTGTTGAGAGAACTGACCATTTTAAAAGAAAGCTCTCAATCTGGCACAACTTCTCAATCATCTAGTGATACTGACTCTTCTCAACGAATTCTGAACAAAACTAACATTTTCAAAAGGCCACCCACTCACTCCACGTCTCCTTTGAAAACAGAAAATGAAGTGAGTAGGAGACTTGAGAGGAAAAGAGAGTGGAGGCTGAAGAGAGCTGAAATAGCTGAAGGGAACAAGAAAATGAATTTTGTTGAAAATAAGAAGTCTTGTTCTAGTGCTGCTTTTTATTCAAATAAAAGTAGATTTAGCTCTGTCACACACCATTCTTCTCAGTCTTTTTCTAATGACTCTAGATCTGTGTTTTCTCATTCTAGAGCTGAGGTTAGAAAGCCTGAGAAACCTAAGCAAAAGTCTAAGGCTGTCAAACCTCATTGTGACGTGAATGATGGCAAATCGAAAAAGAAAAGATTTGAAACTTCAACATATACTGTTTGTGATGGTGTTTGCCTGACTTATCCCCTCAAGGTTTATTCAGCTAAACACCTGAAACGGTTATCAAGGGAGAAAATCTTTACTTCTCAGAAATCTGCTCCATCATTCACCTGCGCTGAAAATTCTCATACACCTGCAATAACTCAAAAATGGGTCCCTAAATCAGAATCCCAGTCATATAGCTCTCCAAAAGCTTCAAAAGAAACTGGTTTAGGAACCAAAATAAAACAAAATTTTCAAAATATGTTTTGTGCTAAAAGGGATGGACCCACCCTGAAATGGGTACCAAAGGTTTCTTAACCTTTTGCAGGTCTGTCATGTGTGGTAACTGAATCAGATTGCTCCACACACATGACGGGTATGAAGTTGAGTTGTGAGCAATCAACTGGTGCACATTATGAAGGGGAGTATTGGCATGTATACTACCCCAACGAGCTGAAAATCAAGAAATGCACACCTCAATGCCGACACATGCCAAGAACAAACAACAAATGCATATTCTGAGGGGGAGTGTTTCTTTTTCACTCCTCCTGGTGCCTAACAACGAAGAAAGCACATTCTAAGGGGGAGTCTTCTACTTTACTCCCCGGGTGATCAACAACACCTTGCACATTCTGAGGGGGAGTTACAATTTTCTCCTCATGATGTCAATGAAGGATCAATGCGAGACAACCCAAGCATGTCATGGCAGAACTAGCATCAATGAAGACCGTCTACGGGATCCAGAACTGATACCCCATCAAGGAGAACAACTCGAAGTTGGACCCAAAGGTCTTGTCTTGTCTTACGTGATCGTGACCACTCTGAAGGACCACACACTATGACAAACCATGAGCGAATTTGCTAAAGTCCCTCAGGTGTATCTCCAACAATTTTGGGCAACATTTGACAAGGACACTGATGATGATGACAACGAGATAGATGACATGCTGACTGCCACTATCAAGGACACTAAGGTCACGATTACAAAGGAGTTGATGCATCAAGTGCTGCAAATCCCAGAGCAGGATGAATATGATGAGCTGGCCACCAAAGAAGATATCATGGAGGACATAATCACACTGGGCCATGCATAACTGATCAGGCTCATCTCCCAGGTCATGCCTAGAAGACTATCACGGCCATGGAGGACTCTGATGGCTACACTAAACAAGTGTTGCACTGCCAAACACACCGGCTTCGACAAGTGCAGCATCTACCTTTTGACTCTCTTCCAAGGCATGGCATTCATGAAAAATTATGACTACGTCTCGCTGATCTGGGACAACAATCTTGAAATGATCAGAAAGAGGAAAAGGATCAATCAAATCAAACATCTACCATATTTCAAATGGTTTTCACTACTGGTGCGACGCTTCTCCAGAACAACTCCATCCATCCACCGAAGACTATCAACGGAGAACGTCAGCAAGTATCTCCAAAAGATGACTAAGGATTCAACGCTTGTACCTCTCTAAATACCAGTGTCTCTGTTGCAGTTAGCTGATCCGAATGATCCATCTGTCCGACACTACTGCCAGAAGAATAACATTATACTCCTTATGGCTCAGATAAACCCCCCTGAGCCTACCCAAGGGAGTCAGCCGAGAGCAAGTGAGGGTCCTGAGAGTTCAACCCAGCCACATAGACTAGTGGCGGTTCGGCCCCATGATGATCAGACTACGTCTGCTGAGGGCCACCCCCGAGTTGCTGAGGAGACTACCTATGACTCGTCTAGCGCAGCCAGACCATAAAACGCTGATGATGAGGACTCCGGGAGCAAGGCTGAAAAGAGCGACAACAAGAAGGGCGGTGAGGACGACAATCATGCGGACAACAACGCAAAGAAAGCCAGGAAAGCTCAGGTACAAAAATGTTGATTCAATATCAAGCTTCCTACGGCTGCAGATGAAGGGGAG